AATAAGGGAAAAAGGAAAACACGGAGACCAAGTTTGGCTCATTAATGAGGTCTCCCCTTCAAACCCCCTTATAAGGAAAAGATATCCTACTATAAAAAAGTTTTTTTTTTTTTCCTTTCTCTCTCCCTGACTTCCTCTCTCTCCACTTTGATTCCAACCCAAACGACGAATAACACCTCCGACGATTGCAAGGCTTATATGCTGGCGATGGAGGTCATCTTTTCGGCGACTGGAGGTCATCTTCTTTAGCGGCATCAAGACGGCATCTCAGAAACTCATTTTTTTTTACAGATCTGATATCTCTGTGTTAAATCCAAACATATTTGTGTTAGATCCGGCGACTTCTAGGGGTTTTACTTCAGGTCTCGCTTTGATTATGGTTTTTCGATTTTGGGTTTGATGTGGCTTATGGGTTTGATATGGCTTATGGGTTTCTTGTTTCTTTGTGTTGTGATTTTCTTCCTTTTTTTTTTTTTTTTTTTGTATTTTCTTCGTTACTTCAGATTTGTGATTTTCTTTTTTTTTTTTGCATTTTATCAAACTTAATATATCGAATTTTTTTTATAAAATAGTTGATCCAAACAGATTTTATTATTTTCTGTTCTGTAGAACTATTTTTAGAATTATATAATCAAACAAGTTTTGCGGTACAAAAATTTCAAAATACACTTTTTTAAAATTCTTTAAAAACATGTTTTCGAATACTATTTTCTGAGATGCAATCCAAACACGCCCTTGGATTCTGACTTTCACGAATGGTGTTGCTGCTATTTATATGAGGGCATCACATTGCATTTCACTCTTTTCTAAGTTGTAAGCTGCCTATGAGCATTTTAATTCTGCGTAGTAAACCTTGGAGAGAATGAAAAGGATGTTTAGCTAATGTGTCCTTTTCCCAAATATGCAGAAATATATCAGTTTATGACACTTTGTAAAGAGAAATTCCTCCATTGGAGATGTAGTAGGTAATTTTATTGCAGAGTTTTGAGAATGGGAAAGACATTGATGTCATGTTTACTTCTGGAACTCTTTCCATTCTAGTTGATGTTGTCAGGTGTTAAAATGCTGGTTCACATTTTTTTGACTGACATAATGCTTTATTGGAGCCTTTATATTCGTTCCGTGTCTCGTGTTTTTAGCTTCCTTTTTTATTGCGCTATTCTATGTTTTTTTATTATTTTTTGGGGTTGGGGCTGTTTGTTCCGCAATGGGATGATAAATAGAACTGACTATTATATTTATTTGGGAATTTTGGTATCTGAATCTGGTTTTGTGCTAGACTGTTGTTGCTTCAATTGCTTCTGACCAAAATGTATGGAATGCTGTGCTGCAAAATAAGGCGCTACTGGAATTCATCCAGTCACATAAAACTGGTAAGAATTGTACCCATATCTTGGCCACTTTAGCCATTTTTTTTTTTTTTGGTGTTAAGACACTCGTTGTCATCTGTTGACCGATGCTTCCTTCTCAGATATTGATCCTGGTGTAAAGGGATCTGTTGCTGAAGCGGATTTTCAAAATGAGCAGTCTCCCAAGAGCTTTGATGATCCTGGTGTAAAGGAATCTGTTGCTGAAGAGAATTTTCAAAATGAGCAGTCTCCCCAGAGCTTTGATGAGTCCTCTGATTTGAAGGAGTCTGCCTCTGGAAATGGGTTTATGGATTACCTGCAGAGCATTAGGCTCACAGTGGTGGATATGATGAGCAACTTATCTGATTATTTTCAGAGTTTCTTTGGTGGTTCAGCTGGGGAAAAACCATCTCCAAATGATGATGGAAGTGCCAGAACAACTTGCGTGGATGCAGCTATAGGAGCGTCCGTCATGGGATTAGTAGTCATGGTGATTATGGTTGTCGTGCTGAAGCGAGTGTAGAACTCATTTCTTGTCAACCTACACAAGAATTTGTCGAAGCTACAGATGTATGTAATCGAAGTTTGGTTGCACTGGTTTATTACTCTTGTTTCTGAATAAACATCTTTCGTATGGCTTATCAGTTGGTCTAATGAACTGTTAGCAAGTAAATGACTCATGAGAAGTTTCTTTGTACAGTTCGCCTTTCTTTCTGCTGATGCTAATGGAACTTACAATGAACCATATCATGAGACATTTTTGCTTCTGCCTGACTCGATCCCGCAAGGATTTAGGACCTTTATGGGTCACTTCCCTCATTGTAGTGGGATGTACTGCCCCTCGGAGATACAGCATGTTGATTATGGTTGTTTATGTTTCCAAACTACTTCCGATGGATCAAATATCAAATGCATATAGGCGAATCCTGTCTCTAATGGTCTGACAAAAGATGTCGCAAATGGTTGTTGAAATTTCTAGTTTTATGAATAAACATTTATTTTTGTGTTTTTTTTTGGGGGGGAGGGAATTCTTGAATTGGATCTACGCAGACAAGGGCAAGGGTAACAGGAACCGAAGTTGAACTTAGACAAATTATAGACCCAGACTTAACAGATACATGTAATTTACGAGTGATTGTAAGTATTCCGGATTTACTTTCGCAAAAATGAGTCCAAAATGCCCTGTTTTGAAGATGTTTCCCATTACCGAAAACAAAATGGAACCAAATATAATTGTAGAAATAAAATGAAAAAAGAAAAAAGACAAATTGAATCACCACCTCAGTTCCAAAAAGACAAAAACCAGTGTTCACAAGCAAAATGCTTGGTGATTAGATTCATCAATCATTTTAATTTACATGCATTGTGTAACTGAAGCAAATTACATATTCAGCTTGATAATGCAAACTGTTTTCGCTTGTGGTGACAACTGCCTTTGAAATCAGCCACCAACTCAACTCTACGGCTTCAACACATCAAATCGGACAGTATACATATGAGTGCCAAAATAGGTGGTATTGTGTGATGAACCACAGCTAAAATTAGAATCACCATTCTACAAAATTGTATAGCCACTTGGAACTCTAATGAACTCCACGAGTTGGTCTGGAGGCACCGCACTTGACCACATTATTGTCAGGTTTGAAGATGATTATTCGAATTTGAAGTGTTGCTCCCATCAAACTTCACTGCTGATATATGCTATGTCCTCCTTTCCTATTTGCATCTTGCCTTTATCTCTTCTACCATTTGCTCGAGGCTGCTCCGGTTCCCCTCGCTGCAATCAAAACATACTGCCACTCAAAACGCCATAAAGAATATCAATGCAACACAGGTGCACATTTGCGCACACAAATGCATGCACAAAAAAAGAAATGAACAATTGTACTTGGAAGTGCCATACAGAGACGTGTCAGTTTAATTTGCCAGTAACAGAATTTAATGCTTACCTTCCTCAACACGAACGCCAGATACAAATAAGCTACTTCCCATTCATCTGGTGATAGTGTGCCTAAATTTTACACGATAAAATAGAATAAGTACATCATTTAACATGAAAACCAAAGGCAAGACCATGAAATACATAGCAACCCCAAAATACAAGAAGCAAAAGCTATAGGTTCCACCACCAATATCAGAATCAAGGTTCTGAAACTTACTTTTGTCTTGGTTTCCATCACCCAATGCACCAAGCCTCCGCATGAGCTCAATAAATTCTGGCTTTTTTACGTATTCATGCACAAATACATGCGAGTTTTTCACGAAAACTAGCTCCAAATCATACTGCACATCTCAAACACAATCATAATGTTAGGAACAAGATATACAGCACCCCATGATAGAAAGGCACATGTGCATCTTCAAGTGTGATTGGGTAGTAATAGCATTCGCATGTCTTAAAAGCTCAAACACCAAGTCACGAAATAAATGAACTTCTATTTCAGTGACAGAGCATATAATGGCTCTCTACTTGGCTTTGTTTTCTATTTCTTATAGCTTTTCAAGATTTTACTTTCCGCTTCGTATATGATAGGGCTATGTTCTTGCCCTTTCTCAAGTAAGCAAAGGCATCCATTCTAAGAGGCAAAACTATACATCTTTTTTTCAAAGACATTCTAGCTTTTATCAGGTCAGCTGCTCACTTTTCTTGCCCCATCATTTCCTTTCTCCAAGGAAAAAAGAGGTGATGAAATAAGATAGAAGAAAATGACCTATAATGCAAGATTACATTTTGCAAATAAATTTGTACCTCTTCTGCCAGTGATTTGAAGACATGAAAGGGGACAATCCATTCAGGACAATCAACAGCATCCTGAAACAATAGGCTCATTAATCTCTATATTGTTGGCAGAACTACAACAAAACAGTAGCTTGGTGAAGGTAAAGGTTCCACTTTGCAGAAATACAATCAAAATCAGTGGAAAATAATGAACTAGATATACAACATGACCAGAAAAAATTCCAGCAAGAAATATTAATTTATTTTCTTTTGGTTAAAGAAATGAACCTGTAGCATTTATATAAACAAGAGAGAGAGAGAGTAGAAATATCTTACCAGCTTTGTAGCTGTATACCTATTATCCTGTAGTCTACTCAAAATTTTTACCCCAGGGCCATAACAAAAATGCATACATCGAGATGGATAAGAGGACAAACTTTTTGAAAAAAATCAGAGAAAAGGGACAAAAAATAGATAATAGCACCTCTAAGTGGAACTTGTACTTAATTCCAAAGGGGCTTGAAGACTTAAATTTCTGAACAAGACAAAAAAACTTCTACTGTCAGAACGGTTCCAGTAATACACTGCAGAGAGCAGTTTCTACAGAAATGTAGATGCAAGAAATGACAATTTAATTTACCTTCTCAGAAAATTCTTCATCAAAACGTATCCAGAAGACACTATTTCCAAAAGCCAATCCTTCAGCTGCATATTCTACCAAGAATCAGAAAATAGTATGCAAAGCAGTATGTAATGTGCATTGATTTTAAAGCTTACAAGCTAAAAGAGTGAAATACTGCGTTACATGAGCATATTATGTGGTCCAAGATATAAACAGGTCTTAAAGGTAAGACCATGTTTGTAACTAAATCAAATAACATTAACCAGTTTACAGAGGGAAAATCCAGAGTTTATTAATTGAAAATCATTTTCTGCAACACTTTGATCAATCATCAATGCATTATTTTGTTAAGAATTCGTGATAATCAGGGTTCCAAAAATCATTAATTCCTGAATTCCCCTTCCACCCTTGTACCAAAGGGTGAGCAAAAAGAGAAGCCAATTGCTATGCTATCTGATGTGATGAAAGATGGAACAACTCTTCCCAGGATCATCACCATGAGCAACCCTTTCTAGGAAGAGTCTTCTTATTCTTCTTTGATAAAAATATTCCATTAGTTGATAAGAAAAATTCAAAAAAGCAACAGACACCGCATCCTAGGAGGAGGGGGTTGGGGCATAAGAACCATAAAATATGTGAAGAGCACACAGAAATTCAAGTCAAAACTAAATATTGATGTCCAAACTATGTCATACCCAAGAAACTGTAGCCTGGAATTAGTCCAAGGTCCATGAAATACTGTTTGTTTAATCTTGAAAGTAAAACAACATGCAGAAGGCTACCCCCCAACAAAAAAAGAAATGACAATGAAATGAATTATTGGAAGGACTTCAGCTTTTTGAGACAAGAATAAAAATGATAGAAGAAGAAAGAAGCGTTATGAGTGACGATAGACTCAAAACTCTTTTATCTTTCACACGGAAAAAGTTAAAAAAATAAAAACCTTCTCTAAGCTTTTTGATGATAACATTGGCATCTGGCATTGTTCCAATGAAGATGCCTCCAGGACGAAGTAAGGCTGAAACATTGGCCAAGGCTCGCCGTGCACGTATCTCGGTAGACCACGAGTAATGCATAGCAAACTGCAGCAAATATACAAGTCTTGATAGTTTAAAACACACTTTAATGAAGCTTGAAGAGGAATAAATTATTTCTTGAATATTCGCTGGACAACTGAGAGTATGCGAAATTTCAGCACAGACAAAACATATAGCAACCCATCTCACAGAAGCAGTTGAACTGGCAAAAAAATTGAGAGAGATCCTTCCATAATTTTCTAAACTAAATAGCTGGATTTACCAAAAAAAGAAAAAACAAATAAACAACAAACAAGATGTAATCTTTAGAAGAAATGGTCATCAAACAGTTTTCAGTCTAATTAAAAACAAGGCTGTAGCTCATTGGCTATTCAAGTAAAATAATTTGTAAATTGTAGTAATATTCCTTGCATCAACTAAGACAGAGACTGAAAATAATAACTAGAAGGCACAAATGACGAAGTATGTTGCCTTAGGCTAGATGCCGTAATACTGATACAATAATTGACATATGTCGCTTACTTTTGTCCTCCCAAATGCAAAGATAATGTCTCACCTGGCAACTACAAATATCAAAAGGTGCATCATCTTCTAAAACTTCATCCAATCGAACCTGCAATCCATCAAATGAGAACCAGCATTATTTGCAGTGATGTGTTGATGAAGAATTTACAATAATCACAGCAGCTCATAAAGGCTCTGGTTCGGTTGTTGATTAGTTACTCATTATGCAAATGAAGTGGCACTTGATTAACCAAGTGAGTTGGTGATAAAGTAGGATGGCAGACAGGGATTCCCCATTAGACGTGTCTTGAGTACAGCCAAAAAGAGAATTTCTCACATAAATACTGCTGTTACCTCAAAACAATCTCCACACATAAGTCGGGCAGGAAATGAGAACTTCTTACGACGCTGATGATGGTCTGCATCACCATTGTAGCGCGTACGACAGTCTTCTATCTGTATATAATTGTTGAAAATGATCAAAACAAGGATAATCGTAACAAGTGTGTGAAAGGCAGAAATACTTGGAACAAAATTCAGTTATCACTTATCAGGTAATGCTGTCCTGCATTACACTCTAAAAACTGCATGCTGAAACAAAAAATAGATTTCCAAAACATGTACATGCTTACACTAATGAAAACAAGAGAAGAAACATCAAATCTTCTCCAAAAATGAGAACTTACAAGGAAGTGGGTGATTTCACATCTAGGTTTCATCCAAAGCTAAAAGTTCTGTACCGTTTTCTTATCAAATGAAATGAACTATTATTGTGCTCCTATGGACATAGGCAAGGAAGCTGAACACAGAAACGACTGAAGACTATGAGGAATGATATGTCATTTAGTTGCAGAAGACTCTGCCCACCAAGATACAATCCTATAACCAAGGTAAGGCTAAGGCTTGAGAGGAGTATACCATAACAAGGCATACATGGACATACATACAAAACTACAGATTTTTGTCACTATGAATATTAATCTAAATCAAGATAATCGCTTCATATTATAATAATTATCTAATAAATGATCCTTTACATCCAAAATTTATGTTCATATTAGTCATGAATCTTTCACTTAAAATATAAAACTTCAAGAATTCCAAGGAGCTCTAGTTCAGCTGATACCCAAGCAGTGGTAACAGGCTCTGTATGCAGACGTCAGAAGTTTGAACTCCCTTATTGTTTTGAATACAACACTAGCACTGGTAACACCAAAAAATCTATTGCATCAAGGTATAAGGTTTTCTGTTGCGGCATAAGAAAAATTCCCATCGGTATATTGTGTTATGATAACAATAAATGAGTAATGAGGAACTGAAATTAGCTACATGTATTCTTATAAATATTTGCATTTAGCCTCCACACTTCTACTTATCATTAATGAAACTAAGCTCCGTTTAATTTCCAAAATGCGATGAAAGAGATGGAGGTACGTCTTAAATGTTCCCTCAAACAAGAACTTCAAAATACCATCTTGAATTATCTTCCATTCTGTCAAAGTAACTGATCAAGGGTGATCTAATTGTCACTTGTTTCGCCTTGTCTTCTTCTGATAGACAGGATATATTGGCCCTAAATAACTAAAGTCATCCCTACATGACTTCTGTTAAGTTTTTGACAATACATAGTGATATGTCATCAGAGTTCAGTTTTGCAAAAGGAAAGTATTTGAATGCGAGTGCTACAGCCAGACGTTTCTTGGCTTGAAAAAGAGACATTTTAGTGGTCATCCAGGATTTTGAAAGATTTCAGAAGAAAATACGACATGACCAGGAAACAACTTCCTTGTCTATATAACAGTTAATAGAGAAAAGACAAGGGAAGCAGAATTTAGTAAAATAGAGCCTTGTATTGATTTAAAAGTGTCACTATGTGTGCTTATTTTCTCATCCAAACAGGTTGCTTTTTAATTTCATGAAGAAATGCCAATTTTGTCAAGATTGTTATATTTGATGATGGGTTTGCATTAATCTGGGTATCCTAGATGTTTATCCATTTATAGCTATGGACACCGATTTTTCTGGCTACATTCTTCATTTACTATGGAAGCCTAAAGCTCCGATGACTATTATTTATGTATTATGAAGGCCAATGTCGACCTTTTGAAGCTGATCCATTGGGGTATTAAAATTCCATGACCAAAATGGGACACATCCATGTCTGGATTGATGGGTAATGTGTTTGACAATTTAATTTCTTTTTGATGTCCTGTTTGAACAATACATGAATAGGCACGTCATAAGTACTCAATTGATTTTTTTGAGGTACTATATGCTGGACTAAAGTCATCCTTCGAGGACGAATGGTCGTTTAGACTCCGAATTTATCTAGAAGTGATTGTCGGTGCCAATGGCTCCATCAAGCTTTTAAGCTAAAGTCGCATTGAACCCACATATTTGAAACATGTTTCTGCTATAGGCTGGCTAACACCCCCAAAAAATCACAAGTAGCAATGAAATAGGCAAAAAAAAACCTTCCAGCTGCTAAACTTCTTTGCTAAATAAATATCATAAAAAACACGCACCAATTGTCAGCTTCAATTTAATGTGTGTGCACTGTGAAAGATATCCGTTATTGATTAGCTTAATATATACTATAATGGATGCTCAAAGAGCCTTGGTGATCCACTCTGACACAATAATCACAGATAGCCCAGCTAAACATCAATGGAAAATACATGAACACATAAATGTATAAAAAAAAAAAATCCAGGAGTTATATCACTATACCGAGCCTTCAGCTATATCAATGCCAACATAATATCCAACTTTTGCCTTGTCCCATTTGATCAGATCACCACCCTGGTGTAAATAGATGAGATACAGAAACAGAACATTACCTCAATATTATTGATTAATATGCATACACATACATATCGGTGTGAATGTTAGCTGAAAAAATAGCACGGAAAAGGAATCTGTAGTACCTTGCCACAAGCAAGATCAAGAACTACATCCCCTTTTTTCGCATAAAGCTGAATTAAGACACTTTTGATCTGTTGAACAGAACAAAGTTGAGACAAACTAAACCACTTCATTACATTGCATAACATAAAATTACTTAGGGAACAATGTGTTCAATGATATAGTAAAACATACCCAATTATTGAGTTTCTTTAAATGAATAATAGGACTTGCTTCTCGCTCTTCCAGAGTTTGATTGGTCCTCGCACTGTAATGGTCAGCCACTTTCCTGGCAAAAATCTTTGTACTCTCATCCTCTAGAAACTCTGCATCACCTGACCAGAGCACAAAACTTCAGAACAAACATATACAAACAACTCACATTTGATGAAGATGCTGAGTAAAATCAAGCAAAATAATAGATTACGTTTGGGAACATATGAACTAGGATTTTAAAAAACAAAATGTATTCCTTTCATTTTGCTCTGATTTCTTCAGCAGCCATATGCAGGGTAATGTTTACAACTTTCTAAAACCATGTCCCAAAAGTAGTATAAATGCAAATTTTGGTATTAAAGTTTCTCTAGTAGCTAAACCCAGGTCAAAAAATGTATAAACCAACCAAGATAATCAATAAACACATCATGAACCCAGGAAAACGAAATCAAGTAATATGGGTTTTATTGACAAACAAAACATACCTTCGGGGTTGTATTTAAATTTGGATTGAGGAGGTCCAAGAGAGGCCGATGGTGAAGATTCCGAGTAACCTCGTTTCATGGCCTGTGATCTAGAAATCCCCCAACTTTAATGACGATGAAATCTACAAATTTTTGGAGTCGTGTAAGGGATGAAATGTAGTAGAGTTTGTATTTATCTCATAGATTTGAAAATCTTGTGGTTTTAGTTGGCACAGAGAGACGTCGTCTGGAGGGAAAGAGAGAGAGAGAGAGAGAGAGAGAGAGAGAGATGCAGAAGGCTTTCCTCTGCTGTCCCTGAGAAGTATGTGTACTTTTCGATTCGGCGTTGTGAACGTGGTGATTTTAGGTATACGCATCACTTTCACACATACACAATATTATATTTATCAAGTTTTTCGTATTAAGTAATATGTCAAAATTTTTATCATTAAATATTAATAAAATTTTATATTTATATTTAACTGTAAAAACTCTGATACATGAATAAAAAATGAGTAATGTTACGTGAAATTTAAAAGTAGATTTAAAAATTAGACTTGATAATTTCAATCATTGAATAGATAGTGGGTCCCAATAAATATTAAGATCCACAATAAAATCAATAGTTGAAATTATTAAATTTATTTTTTAAGTTCATATAGCATTTCTCATAAAAAATTTAATAAAAAGTTTTGGTCAACATAGGAATGTTGATTGTACGGTGGTGTGTAAACCAAAAAGAAAAAAAGAAAATTTGCATACAAGCACCTACTGATTTTGTCGCATAGCCGATCCCAAATAATTAAAATTAATATATCCCAAATAATTAAAATTAATATTTTTGTCGTGTACGACCAAAAACACAAAAAAAAAAAAATTTAAATACAAGCACATAGTGATTTTGCCGGATAGTCGATTCCAAATAATTAGGATTAGTATTTTTGTCGTGCAAAAATTAGTATTAAATACAAATAACCTAATTTAGATACAATAATTCAGTTTAACTCGTTTTTGTATAAAATATTTGTTATCTTTTATTTTTTTATTTCTTAATAAGGAATTGTGTGAATCATTGTAAAATTAGTAGGTTTCTTACTTTACTCAGTTTTGTTAGTAAAGAAATCATGTTATTTTTAAGTTTTTTATTTTTGGTTTACAATATATATATATATATATATATATATATATATATATATATATAATTGATCAAAAATAAATAAATGAAATTGATATCAAAATATTTGATACTATTTAGTACATACTTGAATTAGAATTTATATGTGCGACAAAGACGTGATTTGGACACAATTGAACCCGAATTTTACAATTTAGGGGTGTAATTTAAATCGGTTAGAGCATCTTTAAGAAAAAATGGCTAAAACTTTAAAATAGGTAAAATTTAATTATTAAAAGGTTAAAATCATGCTCCAAAATACAATTTCACTACAGTGATGCTTTTTATATTTAGAGTATCACTATAACATCACGTATAAATAATTTATAATATATTTTTTATCCTATTGTCTTTTCTTACCTCTCTTGTCCATTCATTATCTTTCCTTCCATTCTCTCTCTCTCTCTTTCTCTCTCCAATAATAATTAAAATATAAAAATTCTGTTGCAATGTGTATTAAAAAACTTAATAGCTAAAATTAAAAAAAAAGTACTTTGGATAGCTAAAATATACAAAAACATTATTGGTAATGCTATTAGACAAGTTATGATCGACCCACCCAACTTACAAAGCTTTCAACTCTAGCCCAATTTTGCTTTCAGTTTTTAATTTGAATAGTTTAACCTAAGTATTACTCAATATGGACTCAGAGTTGAAATCAAAAACTCACTACAAATGGAATGAGAATTGGATATTTTATGGGCTATTCTCACCCCTAAAATATTCATTCTCACCCCATTTCTACTTTGCACTCCACTTAAAATTATTTTTTACCTTGTTCATCCCAACATATAAGATTTAACATCTCTTTTTCTAACCATAACCCCATCCCACCTTTCACCTTTAAAAACCCTAACACCCCTATCCTTAAATTCTATCTTCAATTCTACTAAAAGAATTTAAAATCACAGTTATCTAAACCAACATATGAAAAAAATGAGATAATGACTTATTATTAACTGAATCAATCAAATAAATAATGAAAAATGTTCAAAGCACATCAGTGTCATGGCGTCCTTGAGACCTTGACTTACATAACCGATTATTATTTGGAAGATGTCTATTTATTCATAGTCTTCAAAAAATCATTCGCAACCTTAATTCCCCTTTTTTCGACTATAACATAAAACTCTAACTTTGCAAGTTCATTTACCATATATTGCACTAACACTGAATCTCCATAACATGTGGACGAAATTCAATTCCACTTAAAAGTCTTTGCCATTTGAGAACCAACATCATTCCCAACTTAGCTTCTCTGCTACGATATGGGTGGTGATAATGGTGGGTGTAGGGTGGTGGAGATTTGGGTGCTGGGTGGATTTTATGGCTTAGATGGTGGCCATAGATTTAGAATGAAAATAGGGTGGGAATAGTAAATGAGGTGAGAATGGATATTTTGCGGGTGGGAATAGCCCCAACTAATTCCACCAACCAAATTCATTGTCACCAAATTGGATCACATACTGGAGATCTAATCCGATTTTATGAATTTAGCCATGCTTCGGGTTTGGATTGCCATAAGCCGAGGTTCCCACCCGAACACTTCCCGGATTCAAAACGATTTGACTATTTTCGGCCAAGCCCAACCTGACTGTTGGAGATCTTGGCCCACGTCTTATATTTTTTGGTTGTCAGGTTGGCCCGCCCAAGTTACGCTATCCCAACCGGAGAACAGTAGAACCCTGTCACCAAACACAATTTAGGGCAACCCAACAAACTCACTCTCTGTCACCCTCTCTTTTCAAAACCCTATTTCACCCCCTCATCCGATTTTCCCCCAGCCGCTCCCAAACTCCAATAAGTCCCCCCCCCCCCGGCGGGCCAACAGAGAGAGAGAGAGAGTCAACAATGGGTCGAGTGATCAGAGCACAGCGTAAAGGAGCAGGCTCCGTCTTTAAGTCCCACACCCACCACCGGAAAGGCCCGGCTCGTTTCCGTTCACTCGACTTTGGCGAGCGCAACGGCTACTTGAAGGGCGTTATCACCGAGATCATCCACGACCCGGGTCGAGGCGCCCCGTTAGCCCGAGTCACCTTCCGCCATCCTTTCCGCTTCAAGCACCAGAAGGAGCTCTTTGTCGCCGCCGAGGGCATGTACACTGGCCAGTTCGTGTACTGTGGCAAGAAAGCCAATCTTGTCGTCGGAAATGTCTTGCCTCTCAGATCTATTCCTGAAGGTGCTGTGGTGTGTAACGTCGAACACCATGTGGGTGATCGTGGTGTGTTTGCCAGAGCATCTGGGGATTATGCGATTGTGATCAGCCACAACCCAGATAATGGGACCAGTAGGTAAACACCCGAAGCCTATGCTTTTTTAATATGCGTATATTTATTATTAATGAATTTATTCGTTTTGGTGTCTACTGATTTGTTTAGTTATCACTATATGATTGAATTGGTAATGTGATTTTGCATCCTCTGGTAATGGGTAAAAAGGTTTACATGAAAGGCTTTTAATTTGTGTATTTATATGTGATTGATTGTTGTAGTGTTTTTTGTGCATTTTGGTCCCATTTGTTATGATTATGGTTACCACAATTCACCATACCTTAAATGACCCACAATCTGGCTACATGGATCTGAGATTCAAATCACCAAAATAGACGATCTTAAAATTGTAATACTAACTCTAAATCAATTCACTTTAGAACATGTAGCACAAATATAAAATATATATTAATTGACTACATGTATATAGATTTATAGTTATATATTGTTTTAGATAATAGAAAATCAAGCACAATTATAAGATAAACGATGACTAACTTGTGTTTATGAATATTCTATAATATATAATGTTATATAATAGTGAAAATGATTTACATAAGAGTTTTAAAACGAATTACAATCCAAAATACCGTACCAGTTAAACTTACCCTCTTCGAACTGCGTATCTAAGAAAGTGTCGTACTATGTACCCGTATCTGTATCACGTACCAAAGCGTCTCACGATCCAGATATCATTGGTTATGATTTAGGGCTTGAGAATTTGTTACTTGTTTATTCAACTCTGTTAGCGGAAATATTTTCTTGCTTATACCTGGTTTTTCTAATGTTTTGTTTAATTGATGGATTTTATTAGTTTTGACATTTATATATTTGGAAACTGACAAATTTATCTTTATTGAAAATTATTCAGTTTTTCTGAGAGATTTTAGTTTTAGTTCATTCTGGGACAAGGATTTAATGGTCTTGGTTGTTTTAAAGCTTGTTAGTTTCGTCGTTCAAAGAAAAAGAGAAATTTGTTAATTTAGGGGAATGAATTTATCTGAATGTGAAGTCTAATGGAATTAGTGAGTTAGGATTTTGAATTTGTTTATGATTTTAGGCTTTGTTATGGAGCACGGGAACCACTTGTTGGAATTTGAATTGGAGTCCACATTAGTTTGAAGCATCAAACTCATTTTATTCCAATTGCAACTCGAAGGCATAAATTCTATGCTCCCAAACACAGCATTAGTTTATTACGGTTTATTCATCTTTCTTGTTATGAAGGCATTCTTCATACTTGTCCACCATAAAAATATCTGGCAAGGTTCAGTGTTTTAAAATCAATGTTAGTTGTGAATGGGGACACTTACAGATATGTGAATTAAGTGGCCTAAATAATGTTTGTTGCTTTCGGTTAATAAAAGAAAATTGAATTTAGACCTTCGAAGCTGTTTGATAGTTAATGCGAAACACTTGAGTTTCCATTTGTTTGTCTGATAAGTTGTTTCTTCAAGGTATTTATGAGAACAAATGCACGTTAATAAATTTATCTGAACGGTAAATAGATTGTGAAATGCGCCACTGAACCCCTAAAAATTAGAGTTGTTTTTGCATATTAGCAGATATAATTTTTTATGAACTAAATCTTGACTATTTGAGACCCGCTGCATCTAATACTAACCTATGGTGGCCCCATCAACACCAATATTCTAGTTAGATTTAATTTTGGATACATTCATATGGAATATGCCATAAGCAATTCATGTGCATCTTTCATTAAGTACTACCTAATTAATCAGTTCTTATATACATAGTGTGGAAGTTAAGGTTTGTGAGGATCTGATGGGATGTGGATATCTTTTAGTTGGTCTTTTTTTTTGAAGGTAGCTCCTATTACTTTAATTGTCTTGTAGTTTGTTATGCTATTTCAGTTGACATTTTATTGCTGTTGACAGGATCAAACTCCCATCTGGATCCAAGAAAATTGTGCCCAGTGGATGTCGAGCTATGGTCGGCCAGGTTGCTGGAGGAGGACGTACTGAGAAGCCGCTCCTCAAGGCTGGCAATGCGTATCACAAATACCGTGTGAAGAGGAACTGTTGGCCCAAGGTTCGTGGTGTTGCTATGAACCCTGTGGAACATCCCCATGGTGGTGGTAACCACCAGCATATTGGTCATGCTAGCACTGTTCGTCGTGATGCACCACCTGGCCAAAAGGTTGGTCTTATTGCTGCCAGGAGGACTGGTCGTCTCCGGGGACAAGCTGCTGCTACTGCTGCCAAGGCCGATAAGGGTGCTTAGTGGAACTTTTAAGGATGGTTTTATTTTTGCTATTTTCTTTAGTTTTGTTGTTGCATTGCAACATTGCCATGGTAGAAAAATACTAAGTTTTGATGGGAACTTTTGCAGTAATTGGAGTTTTTATGATACTTTATTGGACGAATATGTTTAAATTCAGTTTGCTTGTGTTCATTATTTCCATTCAATGGCTGTTTTGAGCACCCTAATGCAAAAGGTCACATTATTAACATATATCATGACTTCATGGGGTGGTTTGAATGTGTGTTCATTACTCAAATGCAATCTTATGATGAGGAGGTCATGGAAAAGAAATATAGCTGTTTTTTGAGCATTTATCTTGGCATCAATGGATGGTTTGAATGGGTAAGAATTAGTCTTTGTTTACATATTGATGGTTTAATTGGGAGATCATGGGTACGAAATAGCTAGTATTTACCGAATATTGATTGCAAAGACCATCCTCTATGCAAACAGGTCCAACTGTGACTGAATCATGCAAGGTGCCAATCCTTGGCTATTTCTGGCTGGGCAGTCAGCTGAATAAGGTGAGTTTACCTTGCAGCTAATGAAAGGTTGATGATTTTTCTAATGAAGATTGCAAGCCATGATGTTAAAAGTAAGGTTGATAATCGAGTTGAGTTATTCAAATTTGACTCGTTTTTGGCTTTGTTTGTTTTTAAACGAGTTGAATTTGAACAATTATTCAGACTTATTTAGAAAAATAAGACTAAAAAAGCTTGGTTCGAGTTTGTTTATATATAAAATAATTAAGTCATTCAGATTTGTTTGTTTTGTAGACCAAAACACACAAACACACAAATACATTAAAACACATATTTATACACATAAACACACACACAGGATGAGGGTTGGGCTTGGGTGCATAGCCAAAAAATTAGTTTAAAGTGCACACATTAATAAATTCTATTTTTTTTAATTGATTGTAGAAGGATTAAATATTGGAACTCATTATTAAACTTAATGTCACAATATATTAGATAGTGAAATTAGCTTCCAATAGAATTGGTCAAAAGTTAGTAATCCTTTAGGTATAAGTTTTTTTATTCTAATCCATATCTTATGAACACAATAATTAAGTGGACACAATTAAATATATTTAAATTTTATTTTAAAAACAAAAAACCAATGTCAAGTAAAAAATTTTTTGGGAGGGCATGTGTCTCCCTAGTCCAATGGTAGCTCCGCCCATGCTTAGGTCCAATTTTAGGATTAGGGTCAGGGTCTAGTCCATGGTAGAGGTCCAATCCGGGGGTGTGTTTGTGTATGTTTTCATGTACTAATGTGTGTTTGTTTTGGTGTACTAATGTATTTTTTGATATATTACTGTGTTTTTAATGTACTAATGTGTGTGCATTTTGATATTTTAATACGTAAATTAAATTTTATTGCTTTTATTATTTGATGGAAAGATAAATACTCAACACAATATATATTCATTTATAATCCATCTCAATCCACTTAATTAAAATGAGTCATATTATTTAACTCATTTAAAATCCACATTAATAAATATAGGGTGAAATTATTCTCACCCCACAAATTTTCATTCTATCTCATTTAATTTTTCATTATCAAACTACTAAATCCACTCATTCTAGACCCACCCCCCTTGAGTAACTAAGCTCACTACATGCTATATGCACTCCATTAATAGATAAATTCACTCTTTTATGTACACCTCTTTAATGAAAGAAGTTATCATAAGAAAAAAAAAATGGAAGAAGACAATTAATTTGAATATATAAATATATTTATGAAATAAGAAAAAAAAGAACCAAGCAAAATTGAAACAAGAAAAAAAAAACAACAAAAACGAAACAAGTTAAAAAAAAATAAACATGCCCAAACAAGAAAAAAGAAAAGAACGAAATAAGGAAAATATAGAAAGAAATAAGCAAACCAAAACAAGAAGAAAAGATAAAAAAAAAACTAAGCAAAGATTAAAAGAACAAACAAAATTACAAAACGCAAAATCAAATATGAAAAAAAAATAAGTATCAAGTACAAATAATCGAAAAGAAAAAAAATAAGTATCAAGTATAATCACAAAATCGAAAAGAAAAAAAATAATAAATATAGATGTAAAACTTTAACAAAATAAAAAAGAACAAATAATCTAAAAGCATAAATATACATATACACATATAAATTTTAAATAAAAAATTATTAAACTTAACAGAAATATCGAAACATACCAAAAATAATAAAAATCCATATAACAAACATGAAATCAAACATAGAATTAAATTGAGAAATAATACTAACTTGTATTCCACTGAAAAAATTCATATTAAAAAAATATTTTTGTGAGTGTATGAGATGAGATAGAGAACGAAACTCTAATTATGACAAAATATAAAGTGAATTTACTTATTAAAAAGAATATATGAAGTATGAGGTAAATTTAGTTATTAATATGGTGATTATAAAAAATATGGACTTAGTAATTTGATAATGAAAAATTAAATGGGATAAAAATAGAGAGTTGTGACGTGGGATTAACCCCCACTTATAAATATAAATAAGCAAATTATTTATTTATAGACGAATTGAATGAATTAACCACAAAATTTAGGCATTAATATTAATAAAATAATTTTAATTAACTCTGTTCTTCCCTCAGACATCAGAACTATAAATTACACATGGTCCCTCTCTCTTAAAGTCTCGCTAAAACCCTGCACTTGTGTTTGTAGAAAAAGCTTAAACACCCGATGGCGATGATGAGGGCGGCGGCGACGGCGACTGTGACCGCGGGGACTCCTCGAGGACTTAGAGGGTTATTATTCTCAACTTTATCATCAAGTTTTCCATTCAATCCACCGCCGACGAATCAAGAGAAGCCTCCTCCTGCTGAACCCTCCACCAACCTCTTTGTCTCTGGCATGTCTTTCTCTCTTTCCCCCAAATACTCTTCATTTCTTTCAATGCTTCTTTCTTAATCTTTCGATTCTTTCTCATTTTGGTGCGTATTATTATCTGTAGCTCTGTTTTATACGTTAAAAATATGCACTTACGCACACAAACACACAAATATCAAGGATTCCGCACTTCGCTATTAGCAGATCCATGGACTCTATTTTTGGTTACTGCGAAAAAGAAATACGTAGTTCTGATTCTCGAAGAAATGAAAAAGTAAGAGAAATTTTCTTCAACATACGTAGATACAATGATTACAGCGTAAAGATTTTTTGATTAATTGCTGTGTTGTGGAAAATATATTAGATTTTCATATTCTGGGTAATATGATTTGATTGTGCATCTATTGATGGATTCTGTTTGTATACATATTTAATTATCTTTTGGTATTGATCTCTAGGTATAGTATGCACCTTTGGTACAATGGGTGACCGTTTGTTATTTGCTCATCTGTCATACTTGTCCCTTGCTGATAAGTATATGTAACAAGCGTGTGCAAGTCAGTAGAAATCTAGAAGTTGTAATCTTGAATGCTATTGCCTACATCCACAAAGGGGGACGTGTTGAGCTCAAGTACCAGGTGGATGTGGGATATGGGTGCAAACATATTGCTTGCCCAAGTATACGTAATTAGCATAAATAAAAAAATATGGCTTTTGAGTGAAAAAGTAGCTGTGATTCTGAATTGGGTTAGATAGATACATGTACCAGATCACGCACCTGAACCTGATCCCCTTGGATAATGCCCCAGAAAGGTTGTTTCTGGGTCTTTAAGTGATATGGTGAGTGAATACAATTGTGGGTGCTGAGACTGAGACTGTGTCTGCACATATGCATGCTGGTTGGATTTGTGGCATATTCGAAAGTTGGAGAATTATTATTTAGCACAGGAATCGTGGGTGACTGAAACTGAGACCCAACGTAATTGAATTATTTTAACCGTCTAATTGCCTTGGATGTAATTGAGGGTGTAGTTTTTCATTTACACCCAACTGGCTGGAGAAGTAGCACATTATGAAGTTGAGTTACTGATCATGGAGCCAAATTTGCTTGGGAATTTGAGTTGAAAGTTAAATGAAGGCCTTGAACTAATTATATGGCCCCTTGCAGTTGGAACTTGGAAGTACTTGATTAAAGGTTACATAGTAAGTTAATGATAACATATTTTGAGAGCTTGAAACAGTGATCATTATCTGTAGAACAAAATAAATGTGGATTATTCGGTCAAATTGGAGGATTCAAGAGCAAAACTAAAGTCTGCTAAATGGCCAAAGGAGCCACTAAATCTTGCTAAACTTTCTAGCTTCAAGTGTCACATGAAGTATAGGAAGATTTATAATACTTGCAGTTACTGTATTAACGTAGTGAAGCTGAGTCTAGCATCGAGTTTTCCGTCTCCTCTTCTGGTTTCCAAACCTATATCTGAGAACACCTTACAATTTTCAGAATAAAGTAAGAAACTGTGTTGGATGCCATTTACTTGTCAAACAATGTTACTCATCCCACGGAATGAACCTGATAGGTTATATATAGAGATCTCCTTTAAGAACTTCTTGAGATCTAAATGGTTTTTTTCTGGAGATGATAGTTTTCTTGTTTTCTACTTATCTGCGACCAAAAAATTTCTTAATGATGTGGTAATTAAAACATTCACTTGTATCTTGTCAAGAGATGATGAATCATCTAGTGCCTTCTTACCTGGATGATTATGGTTTTGTATCTTCTACGATAAATAGTTAGGATGTGCGTCGCCGTCTGTAGATGTATATATCATCTTTTGCTTGAGTAATATTTCTAGCCTTTCCAGTGGGACAGGTGCAGGGTTCTAAGCCTAAATGAAAAATCAGTTAGTGACGTTCTTTTTACTGTTGGAAAACTTAAAATATTGTTTTTTGCGGTACTTATAGTTATCAAAATCGTACGATTCACGATTCGATTCGTACGATTCGGATCGATACAGGTATAAAACGATTCGTATCTTATATGAGATCGTTTTACAGTTAAATCACACCAGAATTTTACGATTCGTACGATTCGATTCGTATTGCCCGAATCACAGAATTCAATCATTTGTTTTAAAACCCAAATTTGGCAAAACGACGTCATTTTGTCCGCTAAACAATAAAACGACATCGTTTTGTTTGTAGAGGAACCCACACCCTAATAAAAACTCAACATCCTAGCTCGTTCTCTCTCACGTCATCTAAAGCTTGCCTTGCGTTATCTAAAGCTAAAGGTCACAGCTAAGGCTCTCGCATGATCGGTTGATTTTTGCTCTCAATTATTTCATAGGTAATTTGTTAGGTTTTAATTTTTTGTTTCAAAATATTGACCTGTATGTTTTATCCCAATCAATTTTCTTATTTTTTCTTTTTCATTCATATTTATAACCTAATTTATACTGGGTGTCACTATTTTGGTTCTTGAATAGCCTTGGTTCTTTAATGAATTTTTTATCTTCAAGTTGCTGAATTTAAAATGGTTAAGCAAAAGACTAGCGTCTTTCTATTTAGATGACGTGATTATGTCAATTGATTATTTTTAGAATTCAACGATGTTCAATATTCAATATTTTAAATATGTAGTATTATTTTTTATTTTTGTTCAAATTATTTATTGAATCTTACGATTCACGATTCGATACGATTTATGATTCTCAAATTTAGGATTTCGATTCACGATACGAATCGCGATTTGACAACTATGGTGATGCTTTCATTGATTTGTTTCTCTTCTGCTGGTTTCTATGGTCATGATACTATTTTGTTATCAATCTTGCTTTTATATTTGTGCTGGGCTTCTCACGGGTGGTTGCTCTTTTCTCTATCGATGCAGTTTTGACTAGATTTGGTTCCTGTTCTGTTTTCAGGGCTTAACAAACGAACAACTTCAGAGGGACTTAGAGATGCCTTCGCAAAGTTCGGTGAAGTGGCGCATGGTACGTTTTACTTCTGCATGTCTGTAGAAAATTTCAGGAGAGGAATGCTCCTTTATAAAAAATTTACTGAACTTCTGCTTCCCTGTTTCTTGTAGCTAGAGTTGTGACTGATCGGGCATCAGGATATTCAAAGGGGTTTGGCTTTGTACGATACAATACTTTAGAAGAGGCTGCGGCAGGGATAAAGGGCATGGATGGCCAGGTGAGCTGACACAACCCAAACTCTTTATACGGGTTCTAAAAACAGGCATATAAAGAGTTGTGTGGTCTCATCATGCGCAAAATGTTGCGGTGGTCTGGTTAGCATGATCATCGTCATTTTTTCCCTGCAATGTATATCAGTAGTAATAATGTTCTCTCTTTCTGTTTGATTGGTAGTTCTTGGAGGGATGGGTTATATTTGCGGAGTATGCAAGACCTAGACTGCCTCCTCCCCCACTTGAGAGCAATGGATCTATGTATGGTCGCCAATAGCTCCTGTATACGGTAGAAGAAGCTTCTCTCTTTCAGATATTGCACTCATTTGTTCAGAGGAGCATCTGATTACTTTTGGAAGAAAAAAAAGAGAGCAATTGATGAATCATAGCTTTTGATTTTGCCTCGATCACAATTTTATTATTGTCCCTTTGTGTGGAACTTTTTGAATATGGTTGACATGAAACTGAACTCGTTGAATTGAGAGGTATTTCTATTTCAAAGGTGCTTATTAATCAGTTATCTGCAGAACTCTGTTGGTTTGCTATTCATGTGGATTCCGTTAAATTCATTACGTACTACTTATCTGTAATACTATTTTGTAGATTATTGTTTGCGGGTCGTGTGGAGGAAGTCTAAAAAATTTGGAATTTTGGGTTGAGATTGAACCATAAATCATTTGATGGGTAACATCATAGGGAAACCAAAAGCAATGTGTAAATGGTCATTAATTAGCTTCTTAAATTTTAGGGAAATGTTATTATGAAACCTTATTTAGAGATCTAATGATGTATAATCATTGAATTGGTTGTGAGTTATATCAAATATTGAAAGTTACAACTAATTCAATAGTTGTATTGAAATCACATCATTAGATTCCTATAACATTACTCTAAACTTTAATATTATGTAAGATCAAGTGGCTTAGTTCTGGCTATTCATCAAACACCACTTTTCTGTTTCCCCAACCGAATAACAGAAGGAAATAGAAAGAAAAATCCTCCCACAAACACAAAAAGATAACATCATAAAGCCCTATTACACACAGGAAGCTTAATTTCTCAACCTGATGAAATGTTTTGAAGAAAAAATCAGAACCTGGGATCCCCCTAAGCAACCGTCTATGCACTTTCTCCACCTTCCATCCCGGCCATGGTGTCGAACAACGGCCTGTTTAATGTCTCCGGCAAGTAAAAGGCAAGAACACCACCCACAACCCCACATACTCCGAACACCGCAAACGGTATGTGACTACCCAAAACCACCACAAATGGTGCCAATATAGCTCCCATTTGAGCAGCCTGTGTTGCACATCCAAGAGCTGCATTTCTCACCACAGTCGGAAACAACTCAATTGTATATATAAACAGCAAATTATACGTTCCGGCCATCCCAAAAATCCCCAAAATTCCACAGGCCATCCTCACTGTCTTCCACATTCCATAGCTTTTCAACAAGCTCCCTATAATGCAGAAGAACCCACTGAACCATTGTGTCCCAATCGCCAATGGCTTCCTTCCAAACTTGTCCAGCAAAACTGCTGTTAATAAGAACGCAGGCATTTCTGAAACTGCATTAAGGAGTACATTGAGGTAGATATTGGTTTCGAGGTTGACGACATTTAAGCTAAGGCCATAGTACACCACTGAGCATGAGAAATTAATGGCGATGACGAGGAATAAACGCCGGCGAGTCAGTGGTGACTTGAGTACGTCTATGAGAGACCCAGTTATGGCTTCTTTAGTTTCTTCCACTACTGGGTTCTTATTGATTTGGGCAACATTTGGGTTGCCGCCGGCTTCGTCATCGAGGGCAAGAGAAACGCCGTCGGGTAGGTGGTTACCGTTGGATTTGGCAATGTTCCGCATGATTTTCATCGCTTGATCGATCTTTCCACGAATAAGGTACCACCGAGGAGACTCGGAGACGAAGGGGAGGATTACGACCAGGAAGAGGATAGAGGGAATGGAAGACGCAATATAAAGAGCTCGCCACGATCGGAAAATGTAAGCTACGCCGGAGAGAATTGCAATGCCGCCTGAGAAGAAGTAAAATGTGGACATTCCGGCGACGCCTCGCTTGGTTGGGCCAACGGGCTCGGTGGCGAGGACGAAGGCACAAAGGCCAACACCACCGGTGCTAAAGCCGGTGAGAAGACGACACAAAGCGTAGATCCAGTAGTTCGGTGATAGTGCCGTTAGACAGCCGAAGATGGCGTTCAAAATACACACCACCATTAGAGATCCTTTCCTTCCCAGTCTGGAGTCGGAGAGATGGCCAAATATTCCGGCGCCTGAAAAATTATATGCACCAAGTATGAGTGCAAAGATTCTAAATAAGTTTAAAATTGGGGTATTTGAATAACTAAGTGGTTATTGTTTCTTATGATTTTCTAGTAAAGGATCTAATTTAGAAACACAATCGATTATCTCGGCCGAAAGTCACTTAATAATAATAAAAATGGTTAATAATAAATATATTTATATTCATATCTAAAATTAAATCACAAACATAGAAAATAGATAAATAATTTTAAACACCGGTTACAGTGGAGGGGTAAGAGGTAATGGGCGGTAGTGGTGATCGTAGGAGACGGAAATAGTTGTGGTGGATAATAATGACTGTGGTGGTAGTGATAATCGTAGGTGAGAACGGTAATGATAATAGTGGGAATCATGGATGACAAAGGTGGTGGTGGTGGATGTGGGTGGTGGTGGGCAACAGTGATGATTATGGTGGTGACGGTGGTCGGGGACAGACAAGCTGCTAGTTGGGAGAAAGTCTGTCACTTTCTCAAACAGCTAAAGTATGTGTATAGGATAAATTTGTGGAACCGAATAAATATTTTCTCATGTTGTATTTATAAGTTATTCCTTAGATTAGAGTATGAGTCTCTAAATTGACCTATTTAATTTGTAACTAGACTTCAAATAGTTATAATTTACCTGCACATTTAGATACGAGACAAGACACAAAATGAAGATAATATGAAAAAAAAAAACATTAAGAAAACATGGATAACTTGAGAAATAAATTTATTATCTATTTACGTCAAGTGATTCAATGGGAAATCGGTCAAATTTCTTATCGGTTCAAGTCTTGGAGTTCACATTAGGGTTTAGTGGTTGACGACTATGCTATCCTAGCTATATTTGTTTTCGATTAAGAAGAATAACATGTATGATTAGAGATCTTATAATTTTACTAGCGAATATTTATCGAAATTGTCTATGCCCTATCTTTTGATCTCACCCCTTTCTACAAAAGAAAAAGAAAAAGGGAAAACAAAAACAAAATCTATACTTTTTTTTTTTTTTTTGAACCGGCAAAAGCTATACTTGGAATAACTCTCTATATAACAATAATTATTAACCGATAGGAAAGGGGGAGAGAGAATCGGACGGCGTACCTATCATGCAGCCACCAAAAAACAAAGCCTGGACCAATCCAACCCTATACTTTTGTGCACATACCAAACCCCATTGGGCCACCGTTGAGCTTCCCGGACCACCGATCCACTCCCACGTGCCGGGCTCAAGTCCACAAACACTATTGGCCTCCGGCGAACAACCCGACCCAAGTCCACCATCCAAGCACCGCCATCCCGGTTCACGGTCGGCGAAGATCATGACCATGGTGTGAAAAGCCTCCAGAGCCCAAGCTAAGGTTGTCAACAGGAAGTGTCTTAATTGCCAAGACCCAAATTCGCCGCAATATTTTCGGAGCATGTCGTCGATGCACAGCTTCTGGGGTTTCCGGTCTCCATCGAGGGTTTTGACCGGAGGTATTAGGGGTAAACGGAGGTCATGGTCGCCGGTATCTGACAACGAAGACGATGTATTCGGCATATTGTCTATGTGAAGAGGTGGTGATCTAGTGATCTACTTCACATGAATGCTTGTTAGACTCGCTATGTGCATGGTGTGAATAGAATTTGTGGGGATATATACTAGCTAGTTTATCTAACTTATAAATGAGTACCCTCGTGACCAAATACCAGTACAACAATACCAATTAATTTGTAAATGAACGATGAAAAACTATTTATTGTGACTATTAATTTAATAATAGATTTTATTGAGTGTTAATAAGTGCAATTAATCTAAAAATTACAATATATTAAGTTATTTACATTAAGTCCCGATAATATTATTCATACACATTAGTCACTACGTTCCATTTTCTAGTCAATTTGGACTTATTTAAAGGATGATTATAGGTAGTCAAAAATTGTGGGGAAGATTTTAAATTAAATAATGAAAAGAGGGTAATATGCTTTGGAATATATGGTGTCATAATCCAAAAGAAACCTATTTTTTGGGGTGTTTTGTTTCTGTTTCTTCTGGTGGACCAGAGCTAGTGGAAGTTTGTCAATAAAGGCCAGTGACTATACATAGATAACATGCTTTGGAGGATGGATCTGTTTGGCCAGACTTTATACATATCCTTCGTCTTGTGCCTTTTTATTCTTCTTTGCGTTATTAATAACGTTGGGTATATGATTAATGATGTTATCGGGTACTTTAGGTCTGCTCTTTTTATTCAATTTTATTTAATGATAATTTTTTGGTTGATTCCAAGAAGCTCACTCTCTCCTCGGCCCCGGGGTTGTGCCAGGTTTTAGTTTCTTTATGGTAAACATCATAATTAATTCTAATATTTTTAATTTTATTTTAAAACTGTTTTTAAATTTTTAATTATCTTATTTGAGCCTTTGTACTATTAATTTTGTGTCCGTGTGACATTCTTTCATCAATTTCAACCGTTAGAATAAACGGCTGTGTCATGCAGTCAATCATTTACTTTATAAAGTAAAAAAAAGTAAAGTCTACTAAAAGTAAAGTCTGCTAAAAGTAAAGTAAAAAATTTGAGAACTAACTATAATTATGATATTTATCCTAAAAAAAATGAGAAAAAGTAAGTGGTGTGCATATAGTGAATAGATTCAATAAGGCACTCAATTTTAAGGATGCATCGGAGGAAGAGAGAAATTGAGAGTTTTGTCCAAGAGAAAGAAAGTTTCACGGACTCTTGACCCCCCTTAGTTGGGTTGGGTTGGTGGGCCACTGGCCAACTCATACCAATGGCCAATGGGCAGTTGTAAGTGTAGCAGCAGTGTTAGGCTCAGTTTCATGGAAGGGTGAGGCCATTCCCCCTCTAAAATATTCATCCCTAGCCCATTTATTATTCCCACCCTATTTTAAATTCATTCTAGTGATTAGTGAATCCTAAGTCTACAACCACAACCTACGCCATCAGATCAAACCCACCCAACCCCCAAATCTCCACCACCCCACATCCCTCATCTGTCATCACTTAGTTGACGACAACATGACAGTGAAGCAAATTTCGGATGATATTGATATGTTAGGATAATTATTAGAATACGTAAGATTTATCTGTCCACGTGTTATCTTTTTATTGGACGGTTACATCATGTCAATAGGATGACATGGTGTAACGGCTATACTCAATATTTTTTCTTGTTGGACACCCTTTTACATAGAGAGAGAGAGAAATATGTTAGGATTACCAAGAAAAATCGCTGATTTGCCTGGATTTGTCGGAGCTGCTTTGGCACAAAGAGAGAGAGAGAGAAATAAATCGGTGGACATAATAGCAAATAAAAAAGAAAGAAAATAAACTTTTGGAACTACTTAAAAAAGTATGTAACATGTGTACTTAATAATTCAAAAAGATTAGGCCGGAATCTATTGACAAAAGAGATCCTTATATGAGGCCCGCAGCCACAAGGTTGGGTTGGCCTTAGATACGGGCACGATGCAACTTAAATTCAAGCTCTAAAAAAATTAATTTTACAATAGTAAATTTTCTTTTCTTCCCTTTTTTTTAATTAAATAATTTAAAATTAATTTCTATCAATTATTTTCTTAAAAAAAATTAACAATATTTTTTCAAAATACATGACCTCAAAAAATGTCAACACTTGTACACTATCTTATATCAACAATATCAGAAATAAAAAGTGTACTGAGCCTCAAATAGTCAAAAAAATTAAATGATTCGGCTTAGGATAGAAATTGACAGAAAAAAATATGAAAATAAAATTCAAAGTGTTATCTATTTTATTAGATAGATGTTTCTTTTCGACCAGCTAGATTTTGTTTGTTATCAATTGGTAAGCATTTTAAATAAAAAAAGGTGTTCGGAATTACTTTTGAATAAGCTAATATTGATTATACCACTTAAAATGAGCTTATAAGTAGAAGCAAAAAAAAAAAAAAGGATAATTCTAAGTTCTCCAAAAATATTTTTACACGTGCGCATTTCATTTTAGATACATTTTCACCAATACCACTGTCCGACAATTATAAAAAAATGTTTTAATATTTTTGCAAAGAATACAAATGAGAGATGTTCAAACTCTCTCTGTGAGGGATAGAAATCGTTACGGGATTTCAGCCCTCCACTCGAAGGATTTCGGTTGATTTGGCGGCACTGAGTCCCAGTAGCCTTTACCTCTCTTTCGCCAATAGGACCATTTTCTAAGGCAATCTCACATCGGAAGAGAGTCGTCTCCCCCCCTGCCATATAAGTGAACACTTTCTATGGAGGAGGTACCTACTAGCGACCTGATCAAGTGCTAGTGGGTACCTCCTCCATATGAAATGTTCACTTATATGACAGGGGGAGACGACTCCTACCCGATGTGGGATGGAGGTAAAAGGCTACGGGGGGTCACCCAAGAGGTTAACCCAGGTCAACTGAAATCCTTGAGTTATGCAAGAATTTGTACCAACACTCTCTATTTTTTCTGTAGACACCACTTTTATTCTCCACTTTTATACACTAGATCTCTTACATAAATTGAAATGTTATAGTCAAATTCATTGAATATTTAATACACAAAACGAGACTTACAAATCTAATGAGCAATGTTGATGTGTTGTACAAAAGTGATAGTATTGTCGTCTTTTTAATATACATTCAAAATGGAAGAATTTTAATTTATACAGAAGAAGTGTCGTCGTGTACATTTGACAATCAAAGATTTATGATTAATGAGTCGTAGAGATCTACTGACCAATTTTGATAGCATGCGCCAACGACCAAACCTTACAAAAAGAATAATACTATTTAGATTTAAAAATTTGATCTAATTTGTTAACAAAATGATGTAGTTTTATAGAAATCATTGGATCAACACCAAGTTCTAATATTTGATGAGATTTACAGTGAATTCGAAGGTCACAGTAAATTAGATCAACAAATTAAGTTCCAATAGAATTGCTATTGCACAAAAATATGTACAATCCATCCTAGTTGGCAAAGGTGCATTATCTCTACAATAAATGGCTTGGTAGACATAGCGTCTTACATTGATGGCATGATAGACATGGAAGAGAAAGGCCCCAAGCAATGCTTGCAAAGTTTATGGATTGGTTGAAATAGTCTCACAATTTATGGTGTCCTATTTGTCTGTTGGTGTCCTTGTCTCTACTATCATTTGGTGATGCTTTACCACACCGTCGCTGCCATTGACACAACCATACCCACCACTATTAATGTGTCTTATAAACCACCTTCTGTGAAATACTTCTTTAAGAGATATTTTTTAAATTTCTTTAAAAAAATCACAAGTTTGCTACTACGACGGAGTAAATTATGCGACGGTTATACTATTGAACTCTTAAATAGTATATAGGTAGGTAACATATTGTGATCCATTCGGTCGGCACAACTCAGGCAAACATAAAGTAGAGTGCCCTATAGCTTGAGCATGGAACTCTTGATGGTTAGTAAACTAGTATAAGAACGTATCAGAGAAGATTTCCCTATTATATAATAACATCGATCCAAACTCAAACAAAGAGTTTTCACATGACATAGGCAAGTGCCATTGGAGGCCAATGTGAGGGTGCAAAAAAGAATTCCACCTGACATAGGCAAGATATAAAATATAAGACCTAAATATTATGAGTGGAAGGAGCTACACATAAACCTAGGTTTCTTAAGTCGGTATTCTACCACTTGGTGGTTTTCTATCTTTAACCATGGGAGATCTTATTTCACAAGACCCTTGATTTCAAGTTGTTAGGTATCTTTGAATGTGCTTGTTACCCAGTTGTACGTTAATCACAAACTTGGTTTACGAGCTATTCGGTGTCTTTTCTTGGGCTATAAGTTCCCGACATAGAGGGTATCGTTGCTTTGACCTCAACTGGTCATCTTATCAAGCGAGAAGTCTACAAAACTTAAGTATAAGGATGAAAAGAAACCGCTTTGGATTGAGGCTTAAACTTTTGGGTTCGACTTGTAGTTTGTATATAATTGTGCATAAGCCGAGATTCTAACAGTTGTTGGTTCTCTCTGGTTTATTGCTCTGTACGAATCCAAATGTAGGCATCAATTGGTCATCTTCTCATGCAAGAAGCCGGCATGTTCCAATAAAGAAGTGATCTGACTCAAGTACCTAAGCCATATATGTGAAGGATGCTCCAAACGTCAACTGTTTTCACACTGCATATTCCTTAATTTTTTGAAAACCAGTAAGCAATGGGACCTGATACAATGCATGCTAATGTCCAAACCCGGACCAGCAACTTGTTTTACGCCTCACATGGCGATCTTGCCACCATCTGCAATACACCAACTAATACGATGTTCATAAGTGTGTTTAAACCTTCAAAGTTTTAATTGTTTTTTTTTTAAATTCAGTATTGATCATCCACAGGAATGAAATAGAAGAAAAATAATTGGAGGAGAATATTTGAAGAGGGTTGTTGAAGATTTCAAGTTTTGAGGTGAGGGGCGGCCCAATGTAAACGGGCCTGGCGAAAATTAATATATTGAATATTTTATTGATATAAAAATTATTTTTCTTATTTTTAATATACCAAAATACTGATCAAGTTTTCATATTCAAGTTTTGTCAATAAATTTTTTTCAATAGATTATAGTTAAACCATTCAATTTTTCTTATGATATAGTTGATTATAAATAATATTTTATCAATTTAAGTTTTGAATAACTTCTTTCTATTGAAGTACCTATTATTAACAAAATTTTATAAGTAATGCATGTATTAAGGAAAAAAAAAATTTAGTCTATTTATTTAGTTTAGTATTTCAATTGTAATGTTAGTTTCAATTTTTAAAACTTTTAATTTTAAAAATAAAACTAAGTCATCAATATCAATATAGGCATCATAAATAAAGTGTTTAATAATAAAAATTTATTCTATACAATGGACAATAAAATACACTAACTGCTTAATTCCTATACTTTCGCGCCCAAAGAGGGACCGCATACAATTTTTTAAAAATACTGAGGATATTTTTATAAATTAAAAATTTGGTAGGACTAAAATTAGTCTACACATAAAAAGAAAGACCATTGCATAATTAACTATTTTATTTTTTATAACATGATTGCTTATATTTTTCTATCCCCAAAAAAGTTACTGTGTGTGTTTGTCGTTAAATGCACTTTTGTTCTACCAACTCGCTCCTAAAACTTTAAACCAATAATCTTTAATAGCTGCAAAGCAAAATAAGTAAATTTTTCCTTAGTCTTTTTTATATAATTTTTATCTTGGAGAGCATATAATTTTTAAGTACAACCTATTTTAGGCATTTCAACATTAAATACAGTTACTTTACTTTTTTTTTTTTTTTTTTTCCGTTTGTTATTGAGGATTTTGTATTATTGCATATCGAATTTGAATTTCAATTTGGAATATATCGGTCGTTTACCTTAAGCATTGATTTTGAAGGTACACTAATTAGATTGCAGCAGTTAAATTTTACGTATTCGTTAGTAGAATTACATACATGTTTGTTATAATTTACGTAATTTTAAATTGTGTTTTGTTTTATGTACTTGTGTACCCATAATAACATACATGTATCTTCTTCTCAATTAAATATTGATACACTTATATCGTGGATGTACATATTCATATGATGTACTTGAATAATCGTGTATGTTGTTCGTCGGATATGATATGTCTTATACATATGTAATCACGTATATATTAATTACGTATATATTGTGTTTTTTAATGCAATTTTTTATGTGTGTAATCATGAATGTTTATGAGTGTGACTACCTTTCATATTCAATTTTTAGTTCTGCTGAGGATAGTTATGTAACTCATGTGATGAAATTTTAGTTATTTGTTTATGTATCTGATGTTCATTTGTATGTGTTTGACGGTTTGAACACTTCTTTGATTTTTTTAGGTAAATAAAATTAAATTATCATTGGGTGTTCATAAATTAAAAACTAAATATTATATTTCATATAGAAAGGGAGATTACATCTGTGAATCAATTTTTCACATTTGAAAAAAATACAAAAAGATCATTTTTTGAGGTCCTTCAACTCTGCCTCAAACTTTTTGGCCTTATTCCTCTTCTTTTTGCAGCTTTCAGTTGATTTTTTTTGTCATTTCGTTCCGCTCGTTTCGTTCTTTGTGGAACATGTACAATTGAGATTTCAAACGATCGATATTTTTTTACATGAGATCTTGTTTCGTATGTGCTTTTTGAAGAAAACTAATAAGCATTTATATGTTATTATGTGTTTTTTGCTCCCTTAATTGATTCATTATTTTATGTGTTTGTATTCTGGTTTTTTGATACGCTATTTATAGATGTAATCTGTCCAGAAGACATAAAGTAATGTAAATAGTTTTGAGATGAATGTTTATAGCCGTTAGATTATTTTATTTGAGACCGTCAGATGAATATATTGAAACCTGTCTATTTTATATTATAGAATTTCCATGGACTAGATAAAAAGATTTAAATATATGTTTATTAGAGGGTTAATTGCGTAGTTAATTGAAGAGACGTCTCATCTCAATGTATCTGTTCCAAAGATATACTGAATTCAACCGCCACTAATAAATGTATTTTAATGTACATGCGAACCACTAGTTAACGGGTACGTTAATTGAGAACATGTCATTTTTTTTAGTGTATCTGTTTGACGATCTGTGTTTATAGAGAAAAATATATATTATAATGACGTAACTTTTTAGGATAAATGTGTCAATTACGTGATAACATTGTCGTTATTTTTGCAATTTTAAAGGCTGCTAATTATGTCTATTATTTTAACTTTTCAACAGGGACTTAATCTAAAAACAAATTGATGAGTGGATTTTTGTTTTTTGAAATTCTATTGAACCTAGGTACCGACCTCAAAAAAAATCTTTATAAAACCACTCGAGCTTTATTGCGCTTAACGAAATAGAGAGAATCTTTTTGGCCTAACAAAGTTAGAAATTGATTTGAGCTTTATAAGTAAAGGCCTAAAATACTAAGAACTACAATTTTTGGAGCCCTCTAAAACTAAGGGTCCAAGAAAACGACCTTAATGGCATATGCCTAGGAACGGCCCTGTTTAAGGTTGCTTATATCCGACTTTCTCCGGATACTGCAATAGCACGAGTTGCTTTTTATGAAGATTTCAAGAAAAGTTTTAAAATTTAGTTTACTTTATGGAAGCGGGTTCTGAAGATTTCAAGTAAAAAAGCTTCTTTAGTGCTTTCTTCTCCAATTTTTTTTTTTTTTTTTTTTTTTTGGGGGGGGGGGGGGGGTTGGGTTTGATTTTCTTTTTGTCTCTGAGTTTAATCAGGCCATGAATCTAATGGTTTGATGCATTGATGTGTTACTTAAGTTATTCTGCTTTAAGGTGCTATCTGATGGCATAATTCTTGGAGTCTCGTTGATAGATTCTTTGAAGTTGCTTGTACGAATTTCTTTTATAGTTTCCAACGCCGACTAGCCATTGATATTTTTAGCAGCGTTTGAATAGATAGATAAATAAGCTGTCACTAATTATCTAATTAGAAAAAAGTTTTAGGTCGGATACATTAGCACATTTTAATTTTTTTTAATTGATTATAGAAATTCATATTTATTGAAATCATATTTAATACTTAAAAGTTCATTAAATATAAAAGATTAGAAACTGATATACACAACATGAACAAATAAAAAATAATTACAATTTCTTATAAAGAATGATACTAATTATTACAATTGACCATGATGTATTTTGATTATTTGAAAAAGTTACAAATTTATCTTATCACAAATATTTTATATATGTACAAAATTGTAGTAACAATCTTCTATTTATGACCCTATAATTTACTACATTATAATGACATTCATTTTTATACAATAACAAAATAATCCAACAATTAAAAATTAATACGGAGCACTAAAAATACTCAATAATCGATAAATTCTCTAGCATTAAAATTACAATTGACGTCAAATATTACATATTTTATTAATAAAAATTACATTATGTAATTTTTTACTCAATTCGATCCTCTATCAATTTTCAATACGAACTAAACTTGCATCTGAGAGGGATAAATGAGGGTGAGCTTAGGAGATCCAATAAGGCAATTTACAAAATAATATACATAATTACAAGGTCAAACAATAATTCAATAATCAATCGCATAATCAACAAATAAAATGAGCATTTAACACAAATCCCTTCATAAAATCATACAAAACCCAACAATTCAATCTTTCAATCACTCGTGGCTTTGCATTTGGTTTGTCTCAACTACATATTAGGCGCTACTTGATACATCTCATTATAGCATAGGCCCCTTAGGGCCACAATCACATCTTAAAATCATATCTATGAGACTGAGTGTTACACTATTCGAACGCAAGGAAAAAAATAATTACATTAGTTTCACACACAAGCATTAAGGCGTTTTATTCATGAGAAACATCATACAAAGGACAATACAAAATTTTTACTGTCATATTGGCACAGAATCGATGAGCACCCAGGTTAAATAATTATTTACCTTGGTTTTGGAATTTGTGTACCCATCTTCATCCTTGTATAGAAGATTTATCACTCGAGCAAGATTGACAATGCGCTTAAGAAAAGGCATTGGGACCGCAGTTGGACGGAGACATTCTTGGTTTATATCCTTCCATGCGTTTGTAACTTATTTGTCAAAGCATAGGCCTCTTGCTTTGAGGCACCATGTTGTTTCATGTGACACTCTACAGCTGTTTCCGCATGTCCTCCTCTCTCCTGCTCATGCTACAACTTTAGAAAGCTTGAAAAATGAATGCTATGAAACTCTATGCAATCAAATTTAAGGAATTAGAGACCTTTCGATTGCATCTGTGAAGAGTACAAGTTCTTCAAGGGTCCCATATACATCATAGATGTCATCCACAATGGAAGTCATGGCAATTACTTTGGTTAATATCTTCCTGGCAAGAATGTATTGGGGCACATAGTACACTCCCAATATCCAAAAGTAGCACTCCACCAATCCATCTCTTGCAAAAGGTAATGTTGTGGCAAAGTCTAAATCTTTCCACCACCTAAAATACAAAAAAGAAGATAGAATCAATCTTATCAAGCCTAAGACCTCACTAATCAATGTTAATGTTGATGATAAGACTGACTTTGTTAATAAACCTACCTTGTAATACCACTCAACTCCCTCTGATGCACTTTCTGCAATAGATTAAAATCTAATTTAGCAAAGTTGAGTAGTATTTGATTATGCCGGTCATCTTCTTGATAAATTGTCATGTAAGTCCTCGACTCTAGCCTTGTCAAGGCCTTGCGGATGGGCAGCTGTAGGGCATGATTGACTTGTTCTGCAAAGAGATTGTTCAAGTGGGGTAACAAGGACTCGAGGTTGGTAGTAGTAAATACTAGTGCTTCCTCTAGTATGTGACATTCTCTATGCACCATGAGTTGTGTTGCTTCATACAAGCTTAACAACTCTTGAGCGTCTGTGATCAGGGATTCTTCAAATTTCCCTTCCTCCTCGTCTTTGAATTTCTTGAATACATCTGCTTTGCCAAATAGCACCCAACAAACGAAATGAGCCACTAGAAGGGTGTACATATTCTCTATTCGAGCTGACATATGGTTTCAATGCTTCAACAATAATGCCAAGAACACTGTAAATGCTAACTTCGTGTAACCTATACATTGGAAGGGTATCCTTCAGCTTTTGCTTTAATTTATAAAGATTTCGATTAAATTGCTCGTTAAAGAAAATCTATTAGAGAAAAATGAATGATGTTGATCAATGTTATATATAGGAACCTAGAGTATTTCTATGTTCGCAAGCCATGCTTTTTTTTTTTTGAGCGATGGAGAATTGTCCTAACACCTTAATTCAACATTTCTTTATATAATCTCCAATAGAAATTCAAACCCTTACCCACATTGGAGTTAAAAAAAAAAAAAGGTAAAAAATTTGATTAGGTATAAACCTCTTCAATGAAAAAACACAAATTTAAAGAAAGAGAAACCTAAATTTAAATAAAAACAAATTCAAATTTAGAAGAGGGTAAAATATGACTAAAAGTGACAATTTTAACCCATTACTCATTAATCCATATAACTCGCCCATAAATAAATGAGTTGGGTAATATAATTCATTTTAATTAAACGGGTTAATATGGATTATAAACGGGTACCTATTGTGTTGAATATTTATTTTTTTATTAAATAACATAAGTAATAAAATTAAATATATATATTAATATACCAAAAAATATACACACACTAATATACAAAAACATATACACTAGCACACCAAAAACACACACACTAATGCACCACCTATGACCTGTGGGTTGACCCATGATACTACGATCAACCGATGACCCATTGGTTGACCATGACCTGCAGACCTACCCATGACCCACAATCGACCCCGACCCATTATGTGTGTGTATTTTTTTTTATTAAATGTGTTTTAGTTTTTGTGTTCGTATATGTGTGTATATTTTTGGTGTATTAGTCTGTGTTTTAATGAATTAGTGTGTATTTTTTTAGTGTATTAGTTTGTGTGTGTTTTAGTGCATTAGTGTGTGTATATTTGTATTTTGGTGTACTACTAATGTGTGTGTGTTTTGATATACTAATGTGTGTGTATTAAGAATTTTAATTATTTTATGGGTTAATGAGTTTAACCAAACTTGTTATAAACCCAAAGCATCTCCGTCTCCACGCATCGAAACGTCCAATCTTATATTCATCCTCTCTCCAACAATGACATTACCAAATAGAGAAATAAGGTTCAAAAATGCCCTGAATGGAAAGCCGAAGAAGCTACCATATGGAACAAGATATATGTTCTACCTAAAGGAAGGAGCTCACTCATGTTCTCAACCTTCAATCACTACTAGGGCTTGGGGTATAGGGGGCAAATAACGAATCCAGATTTAATTGGGCCAGACTCAATTAATGAGCTAGACCCAAATTAGCTACAAGACAGGTCAAGCTCAATTCATAAATTCGGCCCAGTCCAAAGTTCAAGAAGTTCAGAAGGAGTAGAGCACGTGAGGAGTAATTATCAAGATACTTATTCCTGAAGATCAAGACAACCTTTAATTGTACTTACTTTCTGTAGCTCATCGACTATCTAGTACCTTTATTCTCACGTCACCGTCTCAACTAAGATTCCGTGTCTATAAATTATAAACTCTCTCTACATGAGAGAATATCTTTCTACACACCCCACACATAATTTTTCTCTCTCTTAGCTATGTACCATTATATTGAACAATTATACTTTAATTATGAATAAAATATGAACAATCTATTAATAGATTGAGTAGAGTGTATAAACAAAAGACTTTTTGCTTATATACATGGATAAACAATTTGCATCTTGGATGTGGATAGATCATATTAAATTTGCAACTTGGACCTGTCAAAATCCATTTATGGTATTTTGGATTGGACAAAGAATAAGAAGTATTTAAATCAAAAATCACCTGATGACTTTTTATTACAATCTTTTTCCTTGGCATCGATTGGTTCATAGGCATATTTACCATCATATTGAAGAATCAGATTATGGGAGAGAGGACTCGGGAAGTCTTTTATGTGGGAAAAGATCAAATTTATGTATTATATGGAACGAGCAACATAATAGCGACCAAAAAAAGGTTCCCTCTTTGGTTCCCATAAACAAATCTACTTGATTAACATCCTAAAAAAATTAAATCAATTTATAATTTATACCATGCTGGTTCAAAAAAATTGAAAAACTAGCCTATTTGATTTGTATATCAAAAAACAATATTCAAAAATTGTTTTTGAGAGGAGTTTTAGAAAAAGTATTTTGATGTTTTTTGTGTCGCATAACTTGTTTTGTTATATGCAGAATTTGTTTTATTTTATAATTCTAAAAACAGTTTGACATAATAGAAAATAATAAAACTTGTTTGATCAATAACCTATAAAACAATGACAATATAAATGTGCCGGTGGTGGTGGTTGTGGGAGTATGGTGGTGGTGGAAGTGTGATTATCCTTATTGACAAGCACTTATTACGCTTGGGGTTATTTTTGGGGTTGGTTGGGGGTGGCGTTGGTGCTAGAGAGGATGGTAAAGTCACAATAATTTTTTTTTGTCAATACACGCAAGAGAATACATGTATATTTTGAACAAGTCGTGACCGCTGTGTGGTTATGTTCTTTCATTTTTATTTTTTTTTGGGTCAAAATATGATTTATTATGGTTATTTAGTCCTCCCTAGTGTTTTCAAATCAATAAGGATAATTATTTCCTTGCATTTCCATATTTTAACTTGCTTCCGAAACTTCCTTTTAGAAAATATGCAACCAGCAAACAAATGTGATTTACCAAATCTAATCATGTATTTTTTTATGTTTACATGCAGCTGATACAAATTAAATTCCAACACTCATATTTTGTCTACCATGACACACATATAGATACAAAGTTTATTCATGGGAATAATTATATAAAGGGCGTATGGAAGAGATGAGTTTCACTCTCACACTGACACGTAATTGAGACAAAAATTAAATTCAATGAAATTATTCAGCGGTCAGTGTTAATGATAACTTTTTATTTATAAAGAATCTATTAAAGTTAATTTTTATGCAATGCCGAAAAAATTAATTTTGAGCATAAAACTCAAAAATTGGTTCACACCATCATAAAACTTCATTTGCTTTTTTTCTTGTTTATAATGTAACCTTATGGCTATAAATAAATTATGGTGGTAAATAATAGTTTCATACGAAGCCATAATTAAAATGAATTATAAGTCAACGAACTGCTTTTAATATAAACTATATCTTTTTTGTAAAAAAAAAATCACTTGTTTTTTCCCTACGGTCGTCAAAACCAGGCTGACCGAACATCATTGTAGAAAATTTTAGTTTTCTATAATTTGCGCTCATGAGTCAACCTATAATATAATAAAATCAAAAACCAAAACTTACAAAAAAAAAAAAAAAAAAACTAAACGAATAAAAAATTTACTCCAAAGTCAAAATAATTAGCAAAAAAGACAATTTTTTTAATGGGGAATTGTTTTAGGGATGCAACACAAACTCAGATGCACAAAATGACTCGTAAATTATTCGTATCAGTTAAATTTGGGTTTTGTACTATCAGGAGATTGGAACTTGTTAGTACAAAAAATTAGTATGACGTCAAATATAAACCGAGATAATGGTGATCATTGCACTTCAACAAATTTGTTTTTAGCGACGAATTGATTCGTTACAAAATATTTTCAGCGACAAACTCATTTTGTCACCATTTTATCGTGTTAGGCTTGTCTGGAAAAGTTTTCAGCGACAACAAAACTTTCGTTGCCAAAAATATACAATAGGATACCATAATTTTGTCGCTAACATGTTCTTATTTCGTTGCCAATGTTTTGTTTGTCACCAAAAAATTGATTATTTAACCACATAAAATTTTTAGCAACGATTAGATTCATCGCAAAATGTGAAAACTTCAGCGACCGTCTCTATTTCGTTGCTAAAAATAAGTATAAAAAATATTGGCGACAAATATATTTGTCGCCTAAAAAGACAACTAGCATTTTAGCAATGACTTGTTTTCATCGCCAAAAAAAAATGAATAATGTTTTTGCGACGACTTGTGTTCATCGCCCAAAAAATGAACATGATTAAATCTCATTTGATCCTATAAAAATTTAAAAACACCTATAACAACTCAAAAATATTTCGACCAATTTTAATTATGCACCCATGACAATAGATAATCCATAAAAACACATCACAATTACTAAAACATTCAGACAATACTCAAGATATAAAATAGCATCCAACAATTTTCAATAGCATCAAACAATATCCAAAACTTTTAACAATATCCAAAACTCCTAGCAATATCCAAAATTTTCAACATCCAATATCCTAATATCTAAAATCCCAACAACAAAATATCTCAAATATTTGAAAAAAAATATGTCTTGATATCCAAAAAGAGCTCTTTACAATCCATTGTCAATCTGTGACAACCACATTATAGATAAGAAGTAAAAGAAAAAATATATAAATTTTGAGTTTATAGGTTAGTAAATTAATATTTGACTAAGTATATAATAATAGCAAAAAAAAAAAAAAACATAAGTCTATAGTTAAAATCGCTTACCAAGATAAAGTTGAATTGCTCGGCTCCCCAATGCCCCCACATGCTGCACTGCTAACCTCATCTATGTCATTTGTTGCATCATCATTTCTCACCACTTCTTTATTTGCTGGAGTTTTTCCTTGGTTTCATGTAGCTTTCTCTTTAGACTTATCACCTCCTTTTCATTTGCAATAGTCTTAGACGTCTTTTTTGAAGAAGGTTTCGGTCCAACCCCATAACCTCTCTTATAGCTAGACTTGCAGCCAAGGATGGTGTATGCAATCTCCTCCTCAGACATATGTGATTCACCATCTTGTGTGGACTTGTCTCTTAATTTCTTCATCTGGTAAAATTTTAAAAAATAGCTGATAAATTGTTCACAAAATGAAACTTATCAACCTTATAAATCTCAAATACAGTAACATCAAGAAAATTTTTATACTTACGTATCGAGACTCAACTTTTTGTGATATCCATTTGTTCGACTTCTTGCTAGAGTGAGATTCACGAAAGAAATCTACAAAATGAAGTAACTCCTGGGTGTCAGGATCTTTATGTTTTAAAAAACTGTATAGTTACAACACTTTAAATAAGATAATATACAAAAAATGTATAAGTTAAAATACTTAATCATAACATACATTGCAGATGGAAAAGACTTGGAACTCATAGTATGATTGTAGGGTAGTTTGACACGATTTGCAGAATTTATATTAGATCGTTTCTACATAAAAAATTTAACATAAGTTAGTGTAGGGATAATATTCGATTGTAAATAAAAACCAGCAACATTAGTGATAAAATATCAAGTTTTTACTTGAAATTCTGGATCCTTGAATAAGTGTTCGATTATATAATTTCAATCATCCTTACTAACTTGTTTGTAGGGTTTAGTTTTTGGGTCCAGGGCAACCTTCACCAAATTGTTTATAATGACTATGCATCTTAGAACGGTGGTCATTATACAAATGAGTAAACTTAGCTTCAATGTTTTCCCGAGCACGTTCTGACTCTTCATATCTGACAATGTCAAACCTTGTATGTACGAAAAAATAGTACATCATTTTGAACAAAAACTATGATATTAATAATGAATATAATAAAATAAATATAATTACCCGAATGCGTGCAATGATAGGGGCACTCATGTCATTAGACAAATCATTCCAATGGGTCACAGTAATTGGGACGAAAGCCCTAGCCAATGTTCCCATCTCATTAATGCAACGTTGTGCATTTTCTCTGATTAGGACATTCACACCATTAGGAATCTCAACACTCAGTTTACCATTTGCCTCCACCATCTTCGCTACAGCCTTTCCTCATATAGGACCTCGCCTTTTCCTTGAAGTCGACCCTGACATTATCAAAATATAATAGATGAATAGAAAAAAATATTTTAAAAGTGTCTAATGCAAATGAAATCATACATGTACTACTAACTACAATATATAGACTACGGATGGTCGATGTCGGTGATGGGGATTGTAACTCCTCACTAGTAGTTGCAAGTATAGATAAGACTTTAGGTCGACAACCTGGAGCCATTTATGTTTCCTAAAGCATTAAGATACATGAGTAATTATGCAAATAATCAATTAGAAATGCAACTATAACAAAACAAAACAACATACCATTACGGAGAAAATTTGGTTAAACTATTTTTATTTTTTGGGATCAACATCTGACTCGGAGTGACTTTCCATATCTCCTTCAGAATCACTATACTCTAGTAGTGTCTCATCATCATCATCATCATCATCATCATAGATGAAATCATCATTGACATCTTTATCTTATATGCTTTCAGACGACATTACCCGTTTGCTCGGGACAAGCACTAGATCAAGTTGTCCTATAGAATGGGTGTGTATCATGATTTTCAACAACAATAGAGACATCCTCAGTGGATTCTTCTTGTTGGAATGCATTATTTGGAATAAATGTTCATCATCACTGACATCTATTGCATGTTGCTCTGGTATATCCCATATTTCTCAATGCTGGACTCGTTGTATGACTTGCCAGTGTGGTCCATACTTGATATCATTAACATAGAAAACTGATTTGGAAGGACAAAGGGATCATCTTTATACCATCAAACTCTAACATCAATACTTATGAAATATGAATCAACATTCATTGTTTTTCCACTACTAAGATTGAACTATTCACATTGAAACAAAAAACACGATGTCCAAATATATAACTCATTTCCCATACTTTACTTAAATAATCATAGAACATGAATTTTGATTGTAAAATTCATGTTTTATTATGAATGACTTAAACCCCTTGTTTGATTTTTAAATTTTATTCCAATAGATAGTATAATTGTATACTAATTACGATTTTTTTAAAAAAAAAATTGAATTTTTATTTTTAATTTTTTTTCAAAAATTGATACAATAGAACATAAATTTTATTTATAAAATTTTAAATATTTGATATTCTATCTTTGATTTGAGTATTTTTAGTTTAAGTATAATATTTTAAACTTAAGGGGTCTAAGTATTATATGCCTACAAATTTTAGGGGTTTAAGTATAATTTATTAACAGATATATTTATAGCAGGGGTCTAAGTGTTACGCACGTATAAACTTCAAGGGATTTGTGTATAATATTTTAAATGTCAAGAGATCTAAATGATTAAATGACAAACCTCAGGGAGTTTGTGTGTAATTCTCTCAATCATTTAACTTCAAAACGACGTTGTTTTAATCTATTAGAGTGAACATTTCATTTAACATATTCTGCGACCAAATATCATTTGTCGCAAAACAAAATTAATTTTAAAATTTTTTCTGCGTCAAACATGTATTGTCGCCGAGTATTATTTTTTTGTAAATTTGACAAAAATTTTGCCACCGAAAATTTATTTCTGGTGACAATTTTTTTTTTGGCCCATAAAATTAGCATTTACCGCCAACATTGACGCCAATTTTGTTTTGGAGGGAACGTTTTTGTGAGGACTATTGGTAACGACGACTACAAAAAATAATCGCCAAAAATATCATAAAAAAGTTTACCGTGAGAAACATTGAAATTATTGCTGAAAATCACTTTTTTACAACAAATTTTATTGTTCGTTACCAAAATCCGTCGCTAAAAAACAAATTTGTTAGTGTTGGTTAAGTTTGTTGGAAAAATATAAATCTATATCTAACTAAGAAATTATTTAGCCCAAAATATTAAAATCCAGAAATATTCAATGAATTGATACCTGACATTCTCAGGATTGCTAAGAAAGTGCCACATGATAGAAGCCTAAGTGAGGCAGGAGGATGGCCAATTACAACCATATTCAAACAAAGGGAGGTTACATATTGTAGGTTCCAGCCCATGCCCACGAAGATCTCACGAGCACACTCCATACAATTCCATTAGAAATCCTAACAGAAGGGGCTTGATTGAAACAATTAGATAATTTATGGGATTAATTAACTCAAAAAAAAGTTTAGAGTTTATTGACACAAAAGTCATAGTTTAAGGCCCAAATATGTAAGTTACTCTTGATATTTTCATAATTTTAATCGCTTATTTAATCTAATAATTAATAGTTCTCTAAGGGACTACCAACATCAGAGATAACTTCTTATAAACACCCAAAGCAGAAGTGATTGCAACATTATTACTTATACTTGAAGGAGTCTCGTTTTTATTTGGACAAATTTAAGGGAGGCGAATATATTTATCAAAATAATTTTCATTAGATAGTAAGATGACGTCATAGTTGGTGTATACGAACAATGCTACACTCAAAATATTTTATCAATTTCATACATGAAATTATTATGAATATTTAGATGAGTCGGTTTTAATAACTTTCACTAATCAATTAAACACTATCAATGTGTCATGTTATTTGGCAAAATTGGTAAAAGACAAGTTATTGAATACTTCACACGAATATAATTTCGGGTCACATTTGAAGTTGGGCCGAATTATTTTATATTTGGGTTAAGAATGACTTAATATCTGAATCCATGCATCCCTCCCTCATGCCACCGGAAATGGCATAGAGATGGCATGTGGAGAGAGGAATTTGTACAATGGTCAGGCATAGGCATTCCGATTAATATGATTCCATGTAGCTATGATTTCGATTCATCTCTTATCTCTTTCTCTAGATATATTGCTCGAGTGTACAGGTGCAATGTGTAGGTCTTTCACCTTCTAAGAAAAAAATATCTAGGTCTTTCAATGTAGATGATGGGACATTTTTAAAAAAAAAACAGATCGGCGACACGTGTCATCGACATCGTTATGTTTTCAGTCAGGAATGACCACGTGTCTTCGGCGACACTCATCCCCATCAGCCGAGGCGATAGTGCTCGGAGCCGGGGGATCCCCAATCGGCGTGGTCAACACACGTGTCCTTGGCTCAACAAAAATCCTTGACCCTGAGATAGACAAATATTTCTCGGTGCCGAGGTGTTCCTTTGTACGCTGGATCCCACCTCTCCTCTGTTTCTACAAAAACTAATGATTGACAGATGGCTAGCCTAGGCCAAGCTAGGCTAATCATCATAAAGACGATCTATTCGATGGTGTCAGGGGCGCAGGAATGCAGAACATGCAACCAAGGAGGGGAGGACGCGTGGAATTTGATATCAAATCAGTAACAAAAAGACCTGGGTACCCCTGTTAACACATGGCTGGAGCAAATAAGCATTTAATGAATCCTCCTCCTGATGAAACAACAATTAAGGCATGAGAGCCGAGAAGTGAAGTGCATTAAAGACCCCTATACTTGAGCATTTAATGCATCCTCGCCGAGAAGGGGGAATTGAATGCTCGACAGACTGAGGAGTGAGCTTTAAATGCTCGGTATCCCGATCAGTTAAAACAAAGCCCATTCCCCATAAAAGTGAAAGGCACACTGCCCCATCTTTGACAAATGTTTGCTGGATGGACCATCAGCAATCATGAACTTTTAAAGGTATAAATAGTTCTCAAAAACGCATTGCAAAGGTACGCAAGAATTTTTGAAAATAATTACAGTGCTTTCTTCTTCTTCTCTCTAAAAAAACTGATTTAATCGTCGGATAGCACTCCGACACCCTTCTAACTTGTTTTTCTTTGCTACAGGATCCCCCCAGTCTTCCAGGACCGGTCAGGCAACCAACAAACAATTCGTCACCAGTCCTTAAGGCCCCTTTGTCCCTCTCAACCTACTTCTTCTTGCCAAAACCCACTTTCGGATGGGTCAAATCTCTACCGGAGGTTGTCAGAAATCCTGAAATCAAACCCTCTGTTCTGTCAAATTACTATCTTATCAAACTACAGTTCATCGTGAGAGAAATCTGTTCCTACTTCTACTGTTGTGCAAAAATCGGCACACACAGTAGAAATATATTTTCACCTATTCTATACTAGAAAAGAAAAGTAGGAGGAATTACATTACTTTTGAATGTAAAGGCAAACATATTACATTTTATTAGCTTACAAGGATAGAGAATGAATATATAGAAGAAGTATGATACAGATGACAAGAGAAAATTCTTAATACAATATCATATTGCCACCGAATTGATGAGCACTGAAATTATATAGTTTTTTAATTTGGTTTTGGAATTAGTGTACCCATCTTCGCCTTTGTAAACAACATCGATCACGCGTGCCATATTGAGAATCCGCAAAAGAAGGGGCATCGGGACAACCGTTGGATGGAGGCATTCTTGATTTATATCTTTCCATGCATTTGTAACTAGATTGTCAAACTCATCATACGCCACTTGTTTTGAGGCACCATGTTGTTTCATGTAACATTCCACAGCTGACGCTGCGTCTCCTCTCTCTTGCTCAATCTGCAAATGTAGAATTGTAAAGTTGAATTATGAGATAGAATGTCAAGAATCTCTGTAAAGTATAACTATTGAAGTACACTCACAAAGTTAAAAGGGTGTTTGAAACAGACATTCCAACTTCTCTTTCTTACCTCGTGCCCCGCCACATCGTCCATGAGTCTGGCAATTGTTGATGAAGCTCTTACAATTAGAGGTTCACTTGACACCCAATCAAAGGCCTCATTGGTTGCTAGTTCTCCCATGCCAACAATGCAAGTGGTGGAAAGCATCATGTAACCGCTTGAAACTAGTGCGACTTTCATATACTCTTCCATTGTTGGAGCATAGCCTTCATTAAACCATTTGGCCTCTTCGAAGTATGCTCTGATTAATTTCTTCATCTGAAAAAATGGCATGACTTTTTCCATTAATCATGAATTAAGGGTTTTTATTTTGCCACGTGTGTGCTAAATGACAAGTATGAGGGCATACTGCTTCTTTAGCATAGTGGATGCAGTATGATCTGCCTTCCCTAGCCATCTCTTCTTCCATGTCGATGTAAACATCTATGAGTGCACGATAAAAAAGTCTCATATACTCTGGTAGTTGATCTAATTCATTGATGTCCCACCTGTAAATCAAATACTAGTGCGTGTCAATAGACATCCTCTGTAAATTACAATTGATCTAGAAAACTTGAAAAGAATGCTTTGCAATTTGGTGTCCTCTAAATGACTAAATTTGATAAACCGAACCTTTCGATTGCATCAGTAAAGAGTGAAAGTTCTTCAGGGGTCCCATATACATCATAGATGTCATCCACAGTGGAAGCCATGGCAATTACTTTGGTTAATATCTTCCTTGCAAGAAAATATTGGGGCTCAAAGTACACTCCCAGTATCCAAAAATAACACTCCACCAATCTGTCTCTTGCAAAAGGTAGTTTTGTAGCAAAGTCTAAGTCTTTCCACCACCTAAAGTAAACATTTACAATAGAATCTATCTTACCAAGTTCAAGCCATCATTAATAAATGTTAATAGCGACAACAAGTCTAACTTTAGTTAACAAACATATATACCTTGTAATGCTATTCAACTCCCTCTGATGAACTTTTTGCAATCGGTTAAAATCTAATTTTGCAAAATATAAAAGAACTTGATTATGTGATTCGACTTCTTGATAAATTGACATATAAGGCCTCGTCTCTAGCCTTGTCAAGCCTTTATGGATTGGTTGTTGTAGGGCATGATTGACTTGCTCTGCAAGGGAATTGCTCAAGTGGGGTAACCAGGACTTCAGATGAATGGTAGTAAAAGCTAGAGCTTCATCCAATATATCTTCTCTATGGACCCTCATATGTGTTGCTTCATACAAGCTTAACAATCCTTGAACGTCGGTGATTAGGGATTCCTTAAATTTCCCTTCGTTGTTTTTGAATCTCTTGAACACATCTGCTTTGACATTAACACGGAGCAAACAATATGAGCCATGAAATGCTTAGGCACATATGAAGATAATGAGTTTAGATTTTATTATTGTACCGAAGACGGGTAAAAGTTGTTTTAAATTTTGAAATCAAACAATCCTTTGCAATGGAAGTTGTCTCATACACTTCTATGAAAAAATTCTCATTTTTATTTTTGAGGTTGAAAACTAAGAATATTGGAGTCACCAAATGAGAACTTTATTTATCACTCTAGACTTATGGGATATACATGAAGACGGAGTTGAAGCATTGGCAAATGACAAAGAACTAGCAACTTGTTAGGATGCAAGAACAAAGAAGTAAAAGGAGAATACAAAAGAATGATGCAACGAGAAATAGGTAATCAATATTTCCTAGCACATTTTGAGTGTAAAAACATCAAAATAAGCATAGAAGAAACTAAAGAACGAATATTAATACTTTAATAAACTTTAATTTGATACGTAAATAAATTTTATCTCCCAGAAAATAAAAAAGATATTATAATGAAACTCAAAACATAACCCGAAGGATATGCAGAACAAATCTCATCAGAAAAGAGCTCTGATAAGGTTACCTCCTTTAAAATTCCAGCCCTTGGGAATATTTGAATTTATCTAACTTACTTGAGTGAATATGAACCTAGATTCTACACTAGTATAAGAGTCGGAAAGAAAAAAGACACTGTAATGTACTATTTTTCAGAAAAGGGCAAACTTCATTGTACTCCATTTGCACAGTACATCCCTAATGTTGAAAAGAGTCGGCATAACCGTTATGTAATTTATGGATTAAAATGCACTGTAACATCTGTCAACAAAACTAATAAAAGGACTACAATACCCCCTCTCTTTTTTGTTTTTCCTCTGATTTTCTTCTTATCACAGATGAAATGAAGTAAACAGGCGAGCGGGCCTCACCTTGTGTTAACTTGGACGGAGAATATAATTGTGCACGTTAGTCCGCAAATCGCATGAGGGTTATGTGCAAATAGGGTAAATGAAATTTGCCCAAAACACAACACAAAGTATCAAGTGGAGACTTACCACACGAGACATTATGTCCTTGTTGCCTAAGTAATCGAAAACGAAGGGCTGTAGTGTAAAGGTCATCGTCGTCTTTGTCATCACAATCATGACAAGCATCATATATGTGTTGTAAAGCTGCATCAATTTCACTTTCGAAATGGTAAGATACACCTAGACGCTGGATTGCATCAATCAAGTTGAGTTGTTGTGATTGCTGATCAACAGCTATGCCTAAAATCTTCTTCACTTCTTCTTTTAGTTGTTGACGTTTTGTCTCTGAATGAGCGTCGATTTCCTGCACAGTGGTCATTAGCACACATGTATGATACGTGCATTCAGGGGCGAAACCAGAATTTTAGTGCTGGGAGAGACCAAATCTTATGTATAGAAATATAGACCAACAAAGTGGTGCATATTTTCATTATAAAATAACCAAAAAGTAATCAAAGGAATATTTTCTTTAACACATATCTACTTAGTCAACCATCAAAGTTGTATTCAATGTTTATGTACATCATGGAATTAACCTATGATTGAATTCATATTAGACTTTTTAGCAATTTATTTTTCAATGTGTACGTGTGTATATTGGAGGTTTTTAAACTATCCCTTGGGACCATAAAGGAGTTCCGCCCCTGCAAGCATTCTACCCAAAACATTATGGGTAAAATACATTTTTGATTCCTAAAATATATGTTTTGTGTCAGTTTAGTTTCTAATCTTTTAATTATGTCAATTTGGTCCAATGATATTCCTTATCTTGTGAAGACTTTGCCTTCTTGAGGTCAATAATTCAAGTCCTTTTCCCCCTCTCCCAAAAATAAAAAAATAAAAAAAAAGTTTCCAATCTTTTAATTATGTCGACTTGGTCCCTCAACTTTTTAATTTGTCTCCTCGGTCCACTAAAAAATGGTATTTGGAATTTACTGTGATCACACTTGAGGCACATTTTTTGAAAACTTTAGATAGTAAAGAGACATAAACTATGAACTTAAAGGATCAAAATGATACAAATTACAAATTTAAGAGACCAAAGCAACTTTGAAATTTTGTCACTTGAATATCTCCGTTAGTCAACTGAAATTGTCTTTTCAATCGGACCAAAGTGACATAAATTAAAAAATTGAGAGACCAAATTAACAAAATTCAAAAATTGGGGACTAAATTGATACAGAGCGCATCGTTTAGAGACTAAAAATATACTTTACCCGAAGATCATTTACTTAAAACAAGTTTAGAGTATGATATGAAATAAAGATAAGAAAAAGAAAAAAAAAACCACAAATATGTGTGTGGTTTTGCACATTGTACCTAATTCACATACCAAAACCCTAATACACTACATTGACGTATTATTGTCTAGTAAGTGCATAAGTATAAATCAAGTCTATTTAGAGGATGGAAAAATGAAGACGTATATAAGGATATATAATATGTCGCCCATAAATATCATCATCTAGTTATTCTATTCGGACATTGGTAAATAACTATGGATCCAATCTTCTAATATTACCGTAAAGTCAGAAGCATATGAGAGGAAATGGTCCCCCCAAATGCTAGGATGGAAATTTGCAGAGCGACGGGTAATGCCGGGGACAACAGTTTGGGATGAAGCCAGAACAATCGTTTCCATTTCGGGGCTTTGAGGTGTGAGAGAAAGGGGCGGGAGGGAGGGAAAAAAAAAGAAGCTACAGGTGCCTCGGGGTTTATAATACACTCCAACGAGATTGTATGGACTGAAGAACCTTGCTTGGATATTTATAGTACACTTTCACAGGTGTTGGAACTTGTTGAGGCATCATATGACTGGAATTTGATGGTTGTTGTCGACAGTCACGTTTTTTTTTCCCAACAATTCATCAATGGCTAAAAATGGTTGGTGAACTATAAAGGGCTGTTTGGTAGGGGGTTATTTAAAAGGGGTGGGGGTTGGCAAGATGAGTTGGGAAAAATAATTCAAAACTCTCCCAAATCTTATGTTTGATTTGAGATGAAATCACCATCTTTTTGATCTAAAATTACTAAATTTAGGGGTCAAACTTTCAACTTTTAAATTAAATTGATGGCAAAACCACTTACGATCGATCTTAATTTTATATTCTATTTTTACTTTTTTATTATGCCCAGCACCTTTTCGTATGGTACCAATTTTTTCTCTATTTGGTACCATAGAATTCACCTGCTTCTTATCTCTTCCGTGATGTCGAATTTATGATCTGCTTAGTATGTCTACGTCCTCTCAAACCAATGGACAGTGACGTAATCGTCCTCTCACACATGTTTTTTCACAGGAAAAACCATTAAGGACCGGGCAAATTGCGTGATGGTCCTATTTTTGGGCCCTAATTATTCTTGTACTAACAATGTCGTGTGGTACAAATTACTCTCTCTATTTTTAAATATATGTTATTTAAAAATAAAAATTTTTACATAAAGATCGAAGAAGTTATTAAATAATTTTAATTTGAATTAAAAATAATTACACAAGACTAAAATATCTTTACTCAATACGTATTAGGAAGAAAAGGAATATGAAAGACAGTAAGCCTCCACCTAATCTAATGTATTGAAAAGTTAATGCTCCATTTGGTAGGAATGATGGAAAGTAAGAAGGATGAAAATTTAGAAGGATACACTTTCTATATTTCAAGAATGGAAAGTAAGAATGATATATTTTCCTTCTTTTGTGTTTAGTTAAATGAACGAAAAATAAAAATAACAAATTTAAAAAAAAAAAAAATTTGTCTAATATTAAAAGTGACAATCGAGTCGTGTCATGTCAGATTCATGTTAAGTTATAAAATTATAAGTCTTTTATATTTCTTACTCACGTGTCAGGTTGTTTTCAAGTTCGTGTCGAGTTATAATCAAGTTCGTATTATAAAATTCGTATCGAATTCGAGTCATGTCATCACGTTGAGTCGAAAACTTTTACCTCTACTTAAGATGAAAAATATATATTTTTTAATTTAAAATTTAAAATTTTAATTTTATTATTTTTAATTTAATTTAATTTTTTTAATTATATATATATATATATTTTTTTTTGTTATTGTATTTTTATATAAAATTAATGTATATATAATATATAGATAAATAAGATACATTTCAACAGAAATAATTAATTTTACATCTACTTTCTTTTCGATTTTGAAGGGATTAATTTTGGTAAGTTAGAAGGAAAGTTAATTCATCCACTTTTTCATCTTTCTTATTTTTTTTCCTTATCAAACATGATGTTTTATTTATTTCTCTAATTTTTTATCTTTTTATTTTTTTATCATATCAAACGGAACACAAGGATAAATGTGGAAGAAAAAAATATTATTAATATTTTAATTTTATTAAACGATATATATTAAAAAATAAAAAAAATTATGTAAAATAATAGATATTTAAGAGTTGAGGGAGGACAACCTGTCCAAATCAATCAAACAACGTGTAAAACATACAACACATTTTAGTATCATCATCATCATCAAATGTGTGTCCTCGGACTATTAAAACAGCTAGCGACCATTCAATGCAGATATGTGGGGAAAGGGGCGGGCTCCGGTACAGATATTTAATTTTTTGGTACCACATGAAAAAGCATTTAAGTTCGTAAGACAGTATATGTTGCCACGTGTAAAGTCAAAGGTCAGACAACCTTTAATACAATAATAGTAGAAAATTAATAACATTAGCAAGAAATTTATTAAATAAATTCAAAAATTATAATATAGTGGAAAAATTTATAACATCTGTGAAAAATTTATAACTTCACTGAAAATTTTATAACATCAGTGAAAATTTTATAATAGTGGTGGACAAATTTTAATCAATACAGTGGTAAAAATACGATTGACACATATGCCCATATTTGTCGTAAATACAACATTGTTGCATTTCACGGATGTCCAAATAAAAAAAAAATTGGTATTGTAAAAAAAGTTATTCTTTTTTGAGATTAAATTAAACATTTTTTGGTATTTTACCAAAAGTTATTATTTTTGTGGTTAAATTACATATTTTTATTATTTTTCATGTTGCGATTGATCATGAACATCTCTTGATCAGTTATAATTTTATCTTTAAAAGGTGTAATTTCATGATCGTTGTAATTTTTACTTCAAAAAATTATAAATTTTGACACCGTACAAATCATCGGTACCATATATTTTCCCAAAAACTAAAGCAATATGTTTTTCATTTTAACAGGAAAAATTCTATCCTTCATAGGTAGTTTTGATCCATTGAACCATACTAGATTCAAATGGATGCAGTCCTATGACAATATAGACCTTGTCCAATCAAGGAGGAAAGAATAGATAAGAACTGATGTTTTTAACTACTTTTGTTTCATTGAAAAAAACAATTTTATCAAATAATAAAAATATTCTAATACCTATTTTGCAAAAGTACTTAAACAAAAAAGTACATTTAAATATTATTTTGGGATTTTATGTTTTCTCTTTTTGTGCAACAGAGGAAGAAGTAATTATGTCTGGCATTCCGCAAACCAAATTTTAGATCCTGCGCCGCAAGACCTCAAAGTCATTAGACTTGTAAGACTCCTCCAACACTCCCAAGACTCCTCCAACACTCCCATGAGGTTAGCAAGGGTTGTTCGTTTCACGGAAACTCCCATTGTTCTCGGTGACAATTATGTTGTACCGGAGTTAGGTTATTGTTCAAATCATCCTTTGAGGCCGCCGCAATTTTGGAAATTCCATCTAAGCCTCACCAGTAGTGGACTTTCATTGTGGGTTTGAACTGGTCAGGGACGGAGCAATGCAATGGCCTTGTACTTTTAATAGGGGTGTCAATTTTATCTATTAATACAAACTCGACTCTCGAATCTGACCCGACATAAAATTCAAAAATAATATGATTAGTTGACACGGATAATAAATGAATAAAATTAGTATTCGACACGAATAACACGATTAATGAGTACTGTAGATAAAAAAATAAGTACTTAATGAGTATGTAGATAAAAATAAGAATTTTTTAATTAGTATTATATGAGTTGTTATGGAACTAAATAATTTTTTTATTGACATGAATATCGACACGAATCCGACACGTGTTAAAAATAATTTGACACAAAAATAACACGATCAAAAATTACTTGAAACAAAAATAACACGATACTGACACAATTGACACTCCTAACTTCTAAACCGCCTGTATCTATCCTATTGAAATTACACCTCTTGTTGTGCTTCTACCCCAACTCACCAAAAAAAAAATATCTCAGTCGCAAACAATTTAGAACGGCAAAGAGTTGAAAAAGAGGTAGAAAACAACAACAATAAAACAAAACAAAATCAGCCAGATTTGAAAAGCAAGTCAAAAAATATCAGGCCATAAGTTTTTCTTCTATGATCAATTAATTGGTTAATATTTCAGATTTTTTTCATATAAATTTTTTTTCTGTTTTGAATATTTTTTCCCTGGGCATGCCATGGGTTCGACTCGTGTCCCGTTAGCCTATCTTGACCCGGCCTAGGAAGTTTTCCCGTCAGACAACAGTTTGCAAATTTGAGGGGTGGCAACCCCATGGTTGGGCTTAAGATTTTTCAAAGAATATTTGGCTTAAATCCAGACATTATTCTTGTAAAAAAAATTAATAGTAAGAGATGCAATACTGCACATGCCGAAGTGATGAGCACTGAGGTTTCAGCCTGGTTTTACAATTTGGATAGTCATCTTCATCCATGCACAGAGGATTTATAACACGTGCATGCAAGATTGAGAACCCGCGTAATAAAATTTTTTCCCTTCTTACGATTATTATTTTATCAATTAAACAGAAATAAGATGAAATTGGAAATACTTTTTCTCCTATTTCATTATTATTATTACAAAGGCAGGATTAGACACTATTAACACAAAAAACAAATTCATTATTTTGACAAACATGGATTAAAGATTTTTATTCGAGCACGGAATCGACAAGAAGTGAGGTAACATAGGCTTTAAAGTTGGTTTTGGAATTTGTATATCCATCTTCATTCTTGTAGAGAAGATCTAACACACGCAAAAGATTGAGGACTTGTGTAAGAAAAGGCATTGGGACAATGGTTGGATGGAGGCATACTTGGTTTATATCCTCCCATGAATTTGTAACTTATTTGTCAAACTCAGCATATGCCTCTTGTTTTGAGGCTCCGTGTTGTTGCATGTAACACTCCTGTTTTGAGGCTCCATGTTGTTTCATGTTACACTCCAGTGCTGATGCTACATCTCCTCTCTCTTGCCCATGCCACAAGCATCGAAGAAACCTAAAATTTAGTGAGATGTAAATCAAAAAAAAGACAAAATAATTCATAACGAGATGAATTGTTGCATGGTGTAACCACTGGAACTAGAATGACTTTCATTTACCCCTTCATTGTTGGAGTATAGCCCTCATTAAACCACTTGGCCTCTTGAAAGCTTACTCTGATTAATTTTTTTCATCTTAAACATGGAAAAAAAGAAAAAATATATTCCGACTTTATCCATCCGTCTAAAGATAGTTTTTTTCCTCGTAAACTAAGTAATAACTGGAAAGTATAAGAGTTCTTACTACTTCTTTACCTTAGTTGACGCAACACGTTTTGCCTTCTTTGACCGCCTGAAAACTTGGGTAAATTTATGAAACCC